AACAAATGAAGGAACGTTGTATCGTTAATTAAGGAGAAAGGAAACGAGAAAAAGGGAAACGTGAAGCTCTCAAGGACCAAAAATAATTCGACTGAGGAGAGGTTCTAATTACTAGTCCACGCAAATAATGTCATTTGATAATGAGGATCTATTCGACGACAGGAAGGTAGAAGGGGCGAGGGTGTTCCATCAAAGACTTCATTTTCGTCTGTAACGTCTGCCTCTGTCCTTCTCTCTCTCTCTCTCTCTCTCTCTCTCTCTCGCTCTCTTTCTCCCTCTGTTCCTCCCTCATCGTCAGAATTAGCATCGAACAGACGCATAGCCACGGAGACAATATCATACGTCGGGAAAATCGAAGAATGGCAACCAACAAACATATATATACATATACGCGCGCGCGCGCGCGTGTGTGTGCGCATCACGTCAAGGTGTTCCAATTTGCATGCGAATACGTGGAAAAAGCTCGCCTGTGATTTACAATACGGCGCCTAACTATAGTGTTCGGTATTGTTAGGGGAAAAAAATACTTTGTGTAAAAAAAAGAGAGAGAGAGAGAGAGAGAGAGAGAGAGAGAAGAAAAAAGGGGAAAGAACGAGACCGAAAGACAGAAGAAGCAAGACAGGGAAGGAAAAAGTCGAGAGGGACAGAGAGAAAGTGAGAAGAGAGAGTGAAAGAGGAGGCAACGTGGAAAAGCAATGATGGTGGCAAGCTTTGAGCTGCCATTCTCGCGCGGCAGTCATATGGTATAGAAATACCTGATTCAGCCTGAGAGGATCAACTTTCTCGAAGATTTACAGTCACCTAGGCGATTTTCGAACCAACAATTTCCCTGACCTGCCATCGGGGAAGTTTCTAGCCGACGCAGGCTGTCTCCGGCTTTCGATCCCCAAAATCTGTTCCCCGGCCTGCCGTCGTTTCGAAACTGGACACGTTAATATCTGGCAAACGGGACGATCACCTCCTGCTCGACGTGATAATTCATCGAACGAAGCGAAGTTTTGCAATTATTTCCTTCTTTTTTTTCTTCATCGTGATCAAACGAATTATGATTTGGCTCTGTTTCTGATTTAATCCTGCGCGGATATCGATGCCAGTTGCCGCTCGCCAATCACATCAAACGAGCCCAAGCCCCCTTTTCAGACCGTCGCCGCCGTTTTTTCATTTATTCTATCGGAATTCAGTGACTCGCGGCAATTAAAGTTTGCTTCGCCGGTGAAAACGCGACCGCGCTGCCTCACCCCCTCTCGAACCACTCCTCTTTTTCGTTTTGTTCCTGTTGTTCCCTCCCTGTTGCTCTCTCCCATCGTCCTTCTTTGTGCCCGTGATGGAAATTCATAATCCAATTTTCGAGGGCAGCAGTGGTTTTTCTGGTTATTAATCGGGGGCACGCGGACCATGCGCAAACACGACGATATTTCGGGGTGGAGGAGAAGAAAAAAAAAAAAAAAGAAACGAAAACACTAGAGGGGGAGGGAGGAGGGGTTGGCGAATCTAGCCGCGGCTGCAACGACGATAAATTTACGTCGTTAATTCTCCCTAGCGAGGGCCGAATTGGTCTGCCTTTGTTGCGGCATGCTGCCACTGGCAATAAATTCACGATTCCGATATCGGCCCTGCTAAAAGGTTACCGACGAATTAATAACCGGTCTATAGGTATCCACGGGATATCGTCGCAGGGATTGGAGGCTCCGTGAGACTCGTAATTACATCGAGCATTACGCGATGCTGCTGTCCTCCCCCTTAACTTCGCCGAGATTCGCCATCCGATCGATCGCCTGTACAGATTCGTTGGAATTTACTCCCTAAAATTCCAGTGTCTATTACGTTCTAGTATAATATGTATATTTCAATCTGTATCTCGGTCATTCGAAGTAACGCGAGTGAAAATTGTTTTCAGTGGGAGAAAATGCGTAATGGTAATATTTATTAATTATGAACGTCACATCTTGCATTTATATTTTCGTTAACGTCCCGGCTTTTAGCTTTTTCAAATTGTACGACGATGAATATGGAAATAATTTGATTAGTCTGCAAATATTTTCAGTAGAATTCAAGCCGGGTTAGGGGCTTAAGGCCATGGAAAGGGAGGATCTTAGGGGAAAATTTTCCGAGATAATAATCGACAATTCAAACAGGCAAATACAATTTATTGTTCTACGTGTCGCGACTGTAAGAATGAAAATTTTGCGTATAATCTAAAGGCAGCCAGGGCTCGTAAATCATTTCCCCCCTTTGCCAAATGCATTACGCGACGAATATAATTCTCAATTTTCCCTTCTTCTTCAATTTTGTAATTTTAATTAAATTTAAAACTGTATAAATATTTAGCTAGGCTGTCCGCGCCGAGGTAAAAGCTTACGAAGGACATATTTATTCGCGTGTTCATCACCCGTTGCATTAATTACTCGAAACCGCGGCGCCAATTTTAACCACGGGAATTTATGGTGCGTACGTTCGTTCGCGATTGCGAGGATAGCGCGCGGCTATTTCAAGCTACGAAGATTGATAACGCTTTAACTTGAGCAGGATTTGACGGTCAAAGACGGAAGTAACAACGCAAATAGATTTATAAAATACCCGAAAAACAGACAGACTTCTCCGAACTTTGTGATTTACGTTCCCCTTTGCAGCTATCCAAGTATATTTTGCAAATCGTTCGTATTATCGAATGCGCTATGCCACGATACTTTGGCGAAGCGTGTCAGTGATGGCGCGTAAGTAGAACAGGCCCGTCGCTGGCCGGACATCCCGATTATGAAACGCTGTTACCAGAGTTTAAACCAGAGTTCCCATTTTTTTTCTTTTTCTTCTTCTTCTTCTTCCTCTCGCTCGTGGATTTTATTTTCAGATTTATCGACACGTTTGACCGCCTGCTTGAAAAGCATCGGAGTTTCGACATACGCTGAATTCCATAGAAATTTAAATAACCGGGAAATATTTTAGTTGACCGATTGAAAAACTTTATCTCCCCTCCGCTTTTGTTTTCCCGTGATCGTTTTCGGATCGATTCTTCCTTCTTCAACAATCCGCGAGATATCCTCTATTTTATAATCGGAGAGCAATATTCCGCCAAATGAATAGTCGAGCGCGGCCGCAATAGAGCGTAACGTTTTTCGCGAGATCATAGAATGGAAAGAATGAGCGAAAAGAATCGATTTTTTTTTCCCCTCCCCCGAAATTAGACGGCCTCATCTAATTTCGCGGCCATGAGCTGTGCAACCAAGCCGAGAGAAAGGCTGATAAAAGTAAGAAACGAGCAACCGAGTGAGAGGGGAGCAGACCGGTTTATCGAGCGGTAACGGGAATCGTTCCACCGTACGTCATGCACAATAGTACTAGCGACGCTCTCTATGGATATTGCATCGATATTCTGAACGATATCGCGTCGTTCGCGGGTTTCGATTAGACGAGCAGAGAATCGTTCGACGAGAAATACGGGCGTTTAGACTCGGACACTGAACATTGGAACGGTATGATCTACGAATCGGTCACTATGGAACCGATATGGATCTTTAAAACTTGAAAATGAAACGAAAGTTTGAGAAAATCGTATCGCGTTAAGAAATCATTATTTTTACCACTGAATTACTTTCATTTCTTTAAACGATTAGGTCGATCAGTGTCGCGCCATTGTTGATTTTCAACGACGAATTCCCGACGATTATCTTTCTCTATTAATTTCTCTATTCCAATTTTTCGAGATCCTGGATGGTAACAATGAACTCCGTTTATATAAACTTGTATAATTAAAGTCGCTCGCTATACTAGTGATTTGTCCTCTGTATAATTACATTGGATTATTCCTTGCAGGAAGTTCAACCTCAAATGGATTCAGCGTTTCGAATCAGATACTGAAAATTTAATTCAGACAAAATGACATATTTCTACTATACACTATCGATCAATGACTATCGTCGATACGAATCGTTACAGATTTAACAGGATAATGTTCCAATATCCGGGTAGTGGACTTCACCGGTTTCACGATAATGATGCTGAGGAGAAGGAAGCAAGTCCCGTCCTTCAGATTCCTAATGATCCTGGAGATCGACTGGTCCGGATAAGTTTTGCGTTCGCCTTCCTTTTGCCCGTATTTCTATTATATATTCTCGAGTGGTACTCGCCCTTTAGTTACGAGACGGACGATCGATTCTCCTCGTTGATGGGATGCTTCTACTTCACGTCAATCACCGCCGAAAAATTTATCAGGAAAAATAGCGGTCTGTGCCTGAGTTCGGTGGCTATTCGGCTTCGTCATCGTCGTCGCTGCTCACACTGCCAATCTCGTTGGCTTATGAGATTGGAGAACGGCTGGAGAAAAGCATCGAGTTCATCGACGACCTTAGAAAGCTAGGTATCGAGTTCAATGGCCAATTCCTCGGCCTTTTTCCTGGATATTTTTTCGCAATGACGAAGCTAGAAAATTGTTTCCGCCGGCGAGAGTCCTCCTCCTTAACGCCACTTTCCACTTTAAACGTGAATTTCACCTCTCTTGCATTGCGGTGATAATAATCATTCATTCACGATACGGTTATTAGGTCGTGAGGCAACGCGAGCGAGGGAAGTAATGTTCTTATCTTCGCCACGAAGTTTTTATATTTCAATCTCTTGTTTTAGCAAGCAGGAAAGCTCTTCAATATACCAGCATGAAAAAGAAAATAGTATGTCTCTTGATATATTTAACTTTTCGGTTAAACTAAGGAAGTTTCACGATTTTTAATTTATAACAATCGAATTTTATTACTTAATCGGATTAAACTAGGAAGTTTCACGATTTTTAATTTATAACAATCGAATTTTATTACTTAATCTTCGTTGCGAAATTGAAGATTAAGACTTTTACCGACTCTGAGAAAAACACAGTTCAGGCAAGAAACGACCGAAAGAACACACGTTATTTAACATTAACAGTTTGATCGACGACACAGTTTCATTCACGAAAGAAAAGGGGAGAGGAAATTGAAGACAAACACAAGATGAATGGAAAATTGTTCGTTTAGGTGCTGGAGACATATGACGTTGAACGAGAATAAACCAACAGACCGGGACAGATCCGATTACGTCCTGTGGGATTATCCGTTGGAGGACAAGTTCACGAAGATGTATTTTGCGATGAAAGACGCGGGATTTGTTCCGAGCGTGGAGCATGCGGTGAAGGTGGCCGCGCAATGTAAACCGCACTTACGAATTCGCTCTTATTGCGGATCGCTATCGCCATAAAGTGTCTCGTGCTGACGAACTGTTACTTCAGACAGAAAATAGAAGAAGAAGATCTTGAAACAAGATCGAGACGCTTCTAAAACACTAGACAACTTTTGATCGAATAACTGAGTCGACCGATTGTTTCGCAAATTTTTTTCTCTTTTTTAACGCACACAGAAATTCAAATTACTCTCTCTCTCTCTCTCACTATATATATAATAATATTTACAATTGCTACATTATCGTATATATTGTACTGTCAATTAATTTGCATTTAATGAGCATGTCTGGAAAGTTCACGAAAGGATTAAGCTACTCAAAATCGATCGCGTCAACACGGTATCAATCAAGCTGAAGCGATTTCCAACTGTTCAGCCAGAAATAGCCCACTCGTCTATTCTTAATCAAGCGATCTGGTCTGGTTTCAACGTGTAGCCGCATAATGTAAACGTAACTTCAGATTGTGTTTCCACAGCGTGGACTAAGTAGTTTGTTGGAAATGTTTTGAAACAAGTAGCAACAAGAAGCGACGAGAAATTCATAATTCCTCGTTAAAGATGGAGCTTAACGATCCAAATCGCTTCGTGGTTTCATTCGGGACTCGATCACGTATGATTTTGTCGTCAATCGCTTCTGATACTCGGCAGTCAGTACTGCTGCATCGCTATCAGTTAAACAGAAGAATAAAAAAAAGAAAGTCTCTTTGTGAAAACACGATCGAGCCCTCATGAAAGAAAACGCAGAACACAAATGAAACGCGAGTGAATCCTGCAAAAAAAAAAAAAAACAAAAGAAGAAAAAAATAGTAGAGAAAAGAGAAAAAGGTGTAATGCTTCAATAATATGAGATTTTTCCACGTATTTCATTTCGCGCGTGTATGTTTACGCCCGAGTGTAGAGCAATATTTTTTGAAGCCACACGAGAAAAGTAAATGTTAATCAAAGCAAAATGGTTGTTTCCTTTCGACGCTTTCTGTTTATTCATCAACTTCACGTGGCGCGTTGTAACGAATGGCACTAGGGGATGAGGTATAAATCTCGACATTTATATTTAGCATTTACACCAATCGACCAGGCTCGAGTTTCGGTGATTTCATCAGGAGGGGAAAAAAAAAAAAAAAATAGAGAGAGGAACTAAATGAAGAATAAAAAAAAAGTTACCGTGCGTTTTTTAAAAAAAAAGAACTACCAGAAAAAGCGAGAAACAATCAATTTCGTTACGAACGATGTGATCACGATCGCCAGCCACGAGGATATCGATATCGAAATGAAAGTTTCAAACGGACGTGTATGAATGTGTACGTACACGTGACAAGAGGAAACTAACGATCTAGTGGTCAATTACGAGATAACGATAACTGACGGCACGCGAGGCCGGACATGCAAATTCTTCGCGCGGTGACTCGGCATGTCGTACGTACGTGCTCCGCGATTACTTTCCTCGCGGCCGCGCGAGATGGCCGACGATCGAGAATTTGGTCGAAAAACTGACGGAAGCGAACGTGGAGACGAGCTGCGTTGATAGGAAGAATTGATTAGGTCATCCCCGCGGCAACCGTTGGACAAACACGATGAAACAGAGAGGAAGCCTGGCTTTCGGTTTCAAGACCAGCCTTAGTTGCTTGACCGATTTCCGCACGCGATATCCCGACCTCGAGACGCATCGCGTACACGATCGAAACCAACTGACCAATTACTCAGCCTGGGGAAATTAGCTGCAATTTCGACGCTGCACTTTTTTTTCTTCTCTGCCCTCTCTCTGCCATCCGATAAGAGGAATCATTTCGACGAACTTTCGAGCAAGTTGAAGAGTAATTAAAAAAAGGGGGGGGGAGAGGGGGCGAGATTTTCTAAGAGTGGAATTTAAAAATTCACGATCATTGGAACTGGTATTGGAACGTGTTTGGAATGAGACTCGTGGGATTCGCGATCGCCGTGTGCGGTTACCTTGGATTTTGCGGGGAATTCGCGGTTCGCGCGCAGGAGAATACGACGAGCGACCGAGGACCTACGAGGACGAGACCCGTTAATCTTTGTGAGTATCTCAATCGTTCGATTGTTTAATCTTACAAACTTAAATTTCAAATCTTAAAATCTTAGAAACCTATTCTAAAACCATCAATCTTTCCAGTAATTATCAACGAGGGAAGCAACAGAGTTGCAAACAGTAGCGTGATATCGGCGTTGGAGACGATCAAAGAAAAATATCCGAGTCATTTGGGGAAGGTGTGGAGCGTGCAAGTGAATGAATCCGATGTAAACGACACCCTCGATCGTATTTGCGGTGCTTGGGATTCAGCGGTGGAAATAGGTGGGACCAGAGTCCCGGACATGGTGATAGATACGACGACGGCCGGTCTGGCTGCCAAGATATCTAACTCATTCACAGCTGCTCTAGGAATCCCCACGTTATCCGCTCAATACGGTCAAGAAGGGGATCTTCTGTACTGGAGGAACTTGAACATGGATCAGCAGGGATATCTGATTCAAGTAATGCCACCGGCAGATTTAATACCGCAAGCAATCAGAGAGCTGTGCATTCAACTGAACATTTCAAACGCCGCGATTCTGTATGATCAGAACTTCGTCATGGATCACAAGTACAAGAGTCTGTTGTTGAACGTGGCGACCAGGCACGTGATCAACGAAATCGATCTAGAGGTAGCGGAAATGAAAGCGCAGCTGTCCACCTTACGGGACTTGGACATAGTGAACTATTTCGTCCTAGGTGACGAAAATATCATCGACGCGGCTCTGGAAATCGCGGAAGCCTCGAACTTCACCGGCAAGAAGTACGGTTGGTTTTTATTGACCCCGGAGATCGACGTTTCGCCGAACTGCGACTGTAAAAATATCAGCGCCCTGTTCATGAGGCCAGAATTCAGCAAGAAAACTCCAACGACCGGACCTTCGTTGCCGAAACCGGTTATTTCTTCCGCGTTCTATTACGACCTGGTGCAACTCGGTGTCCACGCGATGAAATCGGCCTTGGATAACGGGGATTGGCCAATGGAGCCTAAGCACATCACCTGCAACGAGTATGATAATACCAATACTCCGAGAAGGAAGCTGAACTTTTTCAATAGATTAAAGGAAGCTTACAAGAATATGACACCGACTTACGCCGGGATTAAATGGGGCTCGAAGAATGGAGAACACCAGGCCAAGTTTGAGATGTCTGTTCGTTTGGTGGATATAAAAGATGGGGTTGTTTCGAACAACATCGAGGGTGGGTCTTGGAACGCGAGCATCTCAACGCCACTGCAGGTAACTTTGAAAAAGTGGAATAGAAAAAGAATAGAGAACTGATCCCTCTCAAACCTGTATCGCTGATTTTCTTTCTTTCTATATTGTCCTTTCTTCTTTCTTCGTGTCTCTTCTCTCCCACCCCCACCCCCTTCGCCCGCCTTCACCGCCCCTCTCTTTGTTATTTTATCGATTTACGTGTAATTTGAAATTCTTCGTAACTTTCGTGTAACAAAGCGACTGTTTTTCTCGTCGATTCGGCAAAAATTTCAGAGTTTCGACAGTATTATTCTCATTGAAGTTTCCTGGTGGAAAGGAAGTTTGTTATACGTATATAGATCGCTGGTGAAATGAGTTACAGGCGAATTGGAGAACGAGTTTCTCCGAATTGATGGAACGTATAATGTTCGTTCGAAATGCGAGGGGAGAATGTAGAAAATTCCTCGCACGTGAAATTAATCGAACAGACTGGTTAAAAGTGTACGTGACGTTTTCAAACGAAATTAGGTCAGTCTATTGATTAACGAAAAAAAAAGAGAATTATGGTGTGTTTATGAGTCACGCATAAGATGAGGATCTGCTCGATAATCGAATGCCACGGCTCTGGTTTAATATCAGGCTAAGTTAATCACTACAAATTACACCGTGGTTATAGTTAATGAAAATGAACGCCTCGTTAATGAATTCCTGTCATTACTTCAACTCTTTTAATCGTGAAAAACGAACGAATATTTTAAAAAAAAATCTTTCTAATTAAATTTCTATTTTAAACTGAAATTCACAATTTAACTGTTTAATTCGATTACAGATGACCATAGTAATTTACATTACATTTAGGCTACTCCATTTATCGTATTTCTCTTGTATCATTACGACAAAAAAAAGATCGGTAACAAACTGAAAATCAAGTAATTCAAAGTTGTAAATTATTGCATTTGCGAATGATACCGGAGTTAATTTCTTAGTCGTGACCCTCATTCAGCTAGCCTCATCGCGATAGTCATACCCTTGACACGTGGTCGTTACATTTATTTACTTTTATTGATAACGGCGTTTGCTAATGGAAATAGTTCATGCAACTATATGTACTTGTTTATCCAATGTGTAACGCGAAACCCTTCAACCACGTAATCGTGTCCTGACAGTAGCGAGTCTCACATCAAATATCGGTTTTTGTTCCGAGATATCATCGTTACTTATCCTAATAAGAATACAATTGTTTCGAAGCTTCATTTACCACAGAAAATACAACATTCTCACAGAAGCATTCCAGACCTCCGAAAGAATTCAGTCTCTCAGCAGTTCAATTTTTATATATCCTTCTGATTTAATCCGATTCGCATTTCTTTCTTTTTTTTTTTTTTTGCAATATAGATAACGAACAACGACGTGATGAACATCACAGCGGTGAAGAGCTACCGTGTGGTTACCATGCTTCAGCCGCCATTTGTGATGTACAACGCGGACAACAACGAGTACTACGGTTTCTGTATCGACCTGCTGAACGAGATCAAAGACACGGTGAAATTTCAGTACGAGATACGAGAGGTCGACGACAAAGAATTTGGGAATTTAAGTCCGAATGGGACGTGGAACGGGATGATGAAGGAGCTGATCGAGAAACGAGCCGACATCGCTCTTGGTTCGTTGTGGGTCACGGCCGAGAGGGAAAGGATAGTCGATTTCACGGTGCCTTACTACGATCTCGTCGGTCTGTCCATCATGATGCTGAAAACGAAAACCACCACCTCGCTGTTTAAATTCCTCACGGTGCTGGAGAACGAGGTGTGGTTCTGTATTTTGGCCGCTTATCTTTTCACCAGTGTCCTGTTGTGGATCTTTGATCGTTGGTCGCCGTACAGCTACCAGAACAACCGGGAGAAGTACAAGAACGACGACGAGAAAAGGGAGTTCAACTTGAGGGAGTGTTTCTGGTTTTGCATGACCTCGTTGACGCCGCAGGGTGGCGGAGAAGCCCCGAAAAATCTCTCCGGACGACTGGTCGCTGCTACTTGGTGGCTGTTCGGATTCATAATCATCGCCTCGTACACGGCGAATCTGGCTGCGTTCTTGACCGTGTCCAGGCTGGAAATTCCAATCGAGACGTTGGAGGATCTCAGCAAGCAATATAAGATTCAATACGCACCGGTGTTGAACTCCTCGGCTTACGTTTACTTCAAAAGAATGGCTGCCATTGAGTGGAAGTTCTACTAGTAAGTAATCGAAGAGATCAGGATGACTCGAAGATCGAAAGTTGAAACACTTTTTTTTTGTCTTTTTTGAGGATCAAGGGACGATGAGTGAATATCGATCTTGTGTATTTCAGCATCTGGAAGAACATGAGTCTTAATGATAATTTGTCGGATATAGAGAGGGCTGAACTGGCAGTGTGGGACTACCCCGTTAGTGACAAATACACAAAAATGTTGCAAGCCATGGAGGAGGCTGGTTTTCCTGATTCCATTGAAGAAGCGGTACAACGAGTTCGACGTCTCAAAACGAACAACGAATTCGCTTATATTGGAGATTCAACGATTATTAAATACCTTACTATGACGAACTGCGACCTGGTTCAAGTGGGCGAGGATTTTTCGAGGAAACCTTACGCTATCGCCGTTCAACAGGGATCGCCATTGAAGGACGCGTTTAACAATGCGTATGTATCCTTTCTCTACGGTAGAAAAAATATTAATTTTCGAATAATCTAATGTCGCTAGCGAATGTTCTTTCGACGCAGAATTCTGACACTATTGAACAAGAGGAAATTGGAAAAATTAAAGGACAAGTGGTGGAAAAAGAACCCAGAGAGAAAAGACTGCGATGCAGAGAACAGTCAGAGCGACGGTATAAGCATTCAGAATATCGGAGGCGTGTTCGTAGTTATATTTATAGGTATTATTTTTGCTTGTTTCACATTGGCCTTTGAATATTGGTACTATCGACATCGTACAAAGATTACGAAGATTGATCGAAACAGCATTACCAAAGGCAAAGTCACGCAAGTGAAACCGCTCAGATTCAATTTACAGCCGGCGCCTACGCACGGTTTTCAGAATACCCATCTCAGACCAAGATTTTGAATGTTTATGACAAAGAAAAAAAAAAAAAGATATTCACGAATCGATCGATTGTGTATTACAGGTATGCTGTACCTCGATGTCAATGCCTATTGCTATTTAGTAATAGTCAAATAAAAACGAAAAGAAGATAATGGATAAAAATGAACAATCTTTTTATCATAAATAAATGTCTGGATTGGAATTATAAATAACATACAACTTCAGCGTTTGCAATGCCTTTATTTGGTTACTCCCTTTGCGTACATTACTTCGCGCAGAGAATACATGTTTGGATGTTCTTTCATGGTTTTCCCCCCTTTTATTCTGTTAATTTTCTCCATATTACAATTCACTTATATCGTCACTTACGTTGTCGCTTCAAACAAACCTTCCTCGCGTCGCCTTATTATTACCACGTGTTCTCTTTTCTTTCTTTTTTTAAATAACATTTTACTCACTCTTTTCCTTCCGCTCTAAAAGGCATTCATTTTTTTTCTTCTTCTAATAACGTCTCTCTCACGTTTTCGTCCGCTTAACTTCGCCGTGATAAGCGTAGTACTTTTTTTTTTCTTTTTTCAAGTTATACGTTCCTTTTTTTTTTATATACATATATATTTTTTTGTTTTTTTTTCCTCACATGTATGTTTTCAATAATATTTTCCGATATCCTTTCTGAGGGAGTATTGGAAAAGCATTGGATACTCTGGGTTTCTTTAAAACATGGAATCTGGTAGATGATGGAATTAGGATAGAGGGGGATTAATTGTCTAGGATGTTAAATTATAATTAAGGGGATATAATTAAGATAATCCATTAATAATTACGAAAAGAAAACAACAAGAAAATAGAATAGTACTTCAATGGTTTTCGGTTTAATATCGTGCGGCACTTTTTTTTTAATCCTTTTTATTTATACTTAGTATAAGTACTCCTCCTCGAATTTTATTCATTTGACTTGCTCTTCACTTTCTTTCTTTTTCTAAATTAATTCCATTCTTTTTTTGGTATTTTTTTTTTTTCTTAGTTACATTTTATTTTCATTTTTCTCTCTCGCTTCCTTGCAATGCATCCAATGCAAACACACAATGAACGCCTGCACATCAGATGAGAAACAAAAAAAGGAAAACTGCACGCTACAATTTCTAGAAAAATCAGCGCACTAATTATATATTTATATATATCTTTTTTTTTTTCATTTTCGTTTCTTTCTCTTCGGAAAAGTTCACATAAAATTATCAACAAGCTACAAATGAAAACTCATTGACTACGTTCTCGATACTTTATTCCCTCTTTCATCGCTCGCGTTCTCATCGTCAAACGCTGCATGAACATGTACACCTTTTTTTTTTTCTTTCTCTATTTCGCTCGGTTTCTTTTTCTTCTTTTTATTTGTCAAAGGGTTAATAATAATAATTATCTAAATGAAGGTTTAATCCTTTCGTTTCGCTTTGTTAGCGTTGCGACCGTTATTTATTTATTTTTTATTTATTTGTTTGTTTGTTTTTAACTCTTTGTTCAACGACAACAGGGGATAAATTTTTTTTTTTCAATTAACGGCGCCATCTTGGATACATGCATAACAAATTCCACATGCCAAGAGGCCCCCCAGTGTCGTTTTACTTTTTTTTTTTTTCTTTGTTAACAATTTTCGTCCTCGTCTTGAGAAAAAAAGTATAGCTACACCTCAAAATCTCCAGTCATATAGCATTTGTAGCAGCTCATATTTATCCAGTTCACAAAGTCAATCGACGCAAAGTCGTCAGAGGCTGGCATCCAAAACTGCTACTGTGCCTTCTATCAGAAAAAACATATTAAATATGTAACGTTAATTGTAACTTCGTAAATGCGACTAAGTACGAGACAATATACATTCTACGTAACGTCAAACCGCGTGCCTCGAATAAAAATTCGACCAATGTAGTAGTGCATTGAGACTAGGGGTGTACGGGTACCCGATCCACATGAACTTTCGGGCTACTTAACAGGCTTCCAGGTAGCCCGGTACCTTCAGGTAGCTCGATTTCATCGGATTTTCAACCCGATAATTTCGGGTTACATAAAAAAAAACATGAATAGTGAGCGGTTCGCGACACTTTTATTATTATGTTACGATTTCAAAGTCGGTATTATACCTATATAATATGACAGGCGAAGTACAAATTACAAATGTTTCTGAACAGATTAAAATAAATTTATTTTAAATTGATATTCAAGAAACATAATTTTTCTTCTTGCTGCCGGCAATAATTGTGATCTTGTCGCTGTTACTATGTTTCCTGATGAGGAAAAGGGACGTTCACTTGTCATCTGTGTTGCGGGTATTCCCAACGCATTCCGTGCTAATATAGAAAATTTTACACTATTAGATTTATCGGACAGTCTAATAAAATCGAGCTATCCTAAAACTATCGGGTAGTTTGAGGGTTCATGTGGCTCGGGAACCCGCCCGAGCCCGTAATATCGAGCGCCCGATATACCCCTAATTGAGACCAATCTCACAAGAAGAGATGTCTTGCTCAATTAAACGGTCGTCAATTTCGTAACATATATTGAACATCATGTGATCGATTACGCGTATACCTATAAATGTACGTATACAACTTCCAATTTCAAATTATGTAACAACAAATATAAAAAAAAGTATTTCCTCAATGTTCGTAGTTCGAATAACATAATACGTAAAAAACAAAGATTTCAATTCGACCGTTTAGCCAATAATCTTTGGTTTTATTCTATGAAATTCTCCAGCAAACAAGAAAGGCGTTAATATTTCGTTATAGTAATAATAACAGGTATATAACTTGTCTTTTTGTTTGTGTTTTAATGAGGCGATTGTTAACTTATATACAATAGGTACAATAGTACAATGTAGCGTAACAAATAAAAAACAGAAAAAAAAGGAAAGAAAAAAAACAAAGCCATGGACACAGAGTGCGGATTCCTTTTCATGAACGCATCATTACCTTTTCCTATCATTGTGCAGAGGTACATTAGATTGTACGCAGCCCAGTTCATCCAACGTATCTTTCTCGACTTTCTCTTCTTCGCAAATAACAGTATCTTCCACTCCGTTCGGAGTACTATGAAAATTATCCTGTTCGGAGAGAATTCTGCGTTTGACCGGAGATCGAATGGGATCAGTTTGAACGCTCTTGTCACATTGACGCACCCTGAATTTCAACGTTAAATTCGAAGAGATTGGAGGAAGCGGTGAGTCATTCTCTCGATACTCCATGTAAGGACTCTCTCCACCAGGAAGATATAACAAGTTTCCTGACTCAGATCTGCGATATGCGACCCGTTCTAAAGTATTGTTTACAGGAAATGTTGTCCCATCAGCCCACTGACCATCATCCTTTATTGGACGAAAATGAGTGCGAGCGGAAGTGAGCAAATCTTCATCCGGTTCTGGAAGGCTATTTACCTTCAGATTTGAACGAGATTCTTTGCATGTTCCAATGGGAGTTTTACGCGGTGCGACTGGAAAGAAGCAGCTATCTGTCTGAGGACTGTGGCCCAAGGTAGCTAAATTACTACCAAGCTCTTTCCAATTCCATGGTCCATTCTTAGCCTTAGAAGGCTCAGACCAATTAACATTGTTCTCTGGAATAATACACAGCAAACATGCCATTAAATTTACGTTAACCAATTTATCTTAAAGGTAAATTAACTGTACCTTATTCAGGTAAACTAATTGTACCCTATTCAGGTAAACTAAATGTACCTTATTCAGGTAAACTAAATGTACCTTAAACTTAAACTTAAAGTAATAAAATAAATTTACCGTTAATGTCATGAATTTACAACCTTAGCAATTAACAGATACGGTCATTTGCAAGTACAGTCAGTCAAGAAAGTCTCCATGCACCGTACAAGAATTTATTTAAAGTTGCATAATTTTAAAGTAATAAATAAATAATTTTGCGTTATTGCATATGTTTACAAGCATGACATTTATTAATAGTGCAAAAAAACGATGTTACATTTATTTGTTAACAAATAAACGAACGAAAATGACATAACAAAAATGAGGTCAAAAAAGTCTCCGCACAGAAAAGAATTTAATTTGTTGTGTTAATGATTCAGCTGAATGTTTACAAATAATTTTTAAGAAATCACTCTAGGATCAAGTACGTATTAGTTGTTTAGCTGTCAGCAAAGATAAAAGACGTTTTCGCGAAATAATTTCTCCGAAATGGAAATACCAATTGTGATCCGAGATTTAATAGTAAAATTAAGAAAAGATGGATTACCCGTTAGAAAAATAAGTCAAATAGTAAAAAGGAAACATTCTTCAGTACAATATATTCTTGAGAAATACGAAGAAACTAAATCTATTCAAAATCTACAACGTACAGGTCGACCATAAAAATTAAATGCCAATCATAAACGTGCAATCTTACGAACAATTCATTGTGATCCACAAACGAGTGCACCGAAATTGACCAGTAATATAGAAATGACCGTAATAAAACAGTAGTGTCCGAAATAAGTCAAAATGTTATAAGAAAAGCTATGTTACAATGGTTATACAGCCAGGAGAAAATCGTTGGTAAGTACAGGTAATAAAAGAAAACGAATTTGAATTTGCAAATGCACACGTTAATAAGGATCAATGTTTTTGGAATAACGTTATATTCAGCGATGAATGTAAATTTATTTCGGATGGAAATATTAAAGTGTGGAGAAAACCAAATGAGCAGATGAAGCCAAAAACTTTTATTCTAATGTTTAAACACGGAGGTGGCAGCGTGATGATGTGGGGGTGTACGAGTGCAGCAGAGATTGAAAATTTAGTCTTCATTGACGGTATAATGGATCAGCATAAATATTTTAACATTTTAAAAGAAAATATAAAAGACAGTGTTAGAAAATTATATCTTAAAGGATCGTTTATCTTTCAGCATGATAACAATCCTAAGCACGTGGCTAAGAAAGTGAAGGAATGGGTGTTATACAATATTCTGAAACAGCTGCACATACCCCCATAATCTCCCGACATTAATGCAATCGAACATTTGTGGTGAGAAATAAAAAGAAATTTGAAAAAATACACGATTGAGAACAAGGAAGACTTAAAAGCTAAAATATTTTTGGAAAATATTCAGCCAAGGACAACGCAAAAATTAGTCCAAACAATGCCAAAGAGGATGCAAGAAATTATAAAATTAAAAGGAGGCCCAACTGACCACTAGTTGACAAATTATGCATAATAATACTACATGTACGGAAATTTTTTTGATTTACTTTTTGTTATGTTCGTAATTTTCGTTCATTTATTTGTTAACAAATAAATGTAACATCGTTTTTTGCACTATTAATAAATGTTATGCTTGTGAACATATGCAATAAAGCAAAAATTATTTATTTATTACCATTTCCTTTAAAATTATGCAACTTTAAATAAATTCTTGTACGATGTACGGAGACTTTTCTGACTGACTGTATATAAAACAAAAAGGCGAGAATAAAATGTACACTGCGACACGACACTGATATTCTACATCTAATTTGACTCTGTTATTATTTACTTACATGTCAGAACGATCTCCTATTCGTTAAATATATTTAAGTCAGTATTACTGTGTCGTGATACTGATAAATTATATATATTTGAGATACTAACCTGATTTATTCTTGTTACATTCATCCGCACAATCTTCAATGCTGATTAAATCGATGTCCCATGGAATTTGCGGTGAGTCGTCAACGATAGATTCCTGGTACGGCGTGTCAGTAGCATAGCCATTGTCTGAGGTGGATAAAGTAAAGGTTGTCTCGGTAGTGTCTGCTGGCCAAAGGGGTTCTGAAGGAATAGAAAGCGTAGGTGCTGCCCAGATCGAAGCTGTACCCCGTGCGTTGCCTGGTCCTGAATCCCAAAGTGCTTCTAAGCTCTGGTTAAATTTTGCTTGTAACTCTGCTAATTGCAATTTATCCAATTCCAATTCCAGTTCTTTTTCCCTCTTGCGTTCCATTGACTTAACAAATCCAAAACTTTGTTTTTCTTCCGATCTTTTTGAATCAATACTCTGTAAAAAGTAGATGAAGACTTGTTGTTAAAAAACTTTCTTGATATAACACAGTATTTGACTCAATTTTGGATATTTACAATGGACATTTTAGTTTTCTTATTGCGAGATTTATTAGCGTTCTTATTGTTGTTATAGTTGACTCCGTTGATTTTGTTATTATTGTTGTTATTTCCGAAATTTCTATCTTTCCTCTGAGAAAATTTCTTCAAAGTCGTAGGTTGTAACGCAGGAAATGCCGCGTAATATCTGAGAGCTCTGTCGCGAGGTGTAAGCGACTCTAAGCTTGTTTTATTTTCACTATCAGACTTCTTGAACTCTTCTTCTTTCTTATGTGAGCCGCCTCCTTCTAGGTCTCGAAGCTTCTTACACAATTCATCCACCAGCGTTTCTACCCCACATGTCTACACAATAAAACAATATACATCGTTGATGTACGTGTAAAATATATATTTGAAGCTTAAAATGACTATTAATAGCTACTCACATTATCAGCAGCACTTATTAAACATTGCACGACCGCACGTCTCTGCTCTCTGTTTCCTTGTGAAGGTAGTTTTGCTTTAGACCGGGCTCGAATGCGACGTCCTGTGTTTCTGCTCGTACCTGCTGGAGGGCTTAGGGCCGAGTCGGGGCAGCGCAGCAGACTGAGCACGAATCGCGAGTACGCAACAGGGTCGATACCCAATGCGTCCAAGCGTGCCTCAAGCCACTGGCGAAGCTCCTCCTCGGCCCTAGTACCAAACACTTCCCCTCCTCCAGGGGACGTCGCTATCCCAACCAAGTGCAATGCCGGATTCCTCATTTCCTTTTAATGAAGCTCCTCCTAGACCCAGGAACTTTCACAGACTTCACTACCTCCAGGGTGATCATCTTCTCTCCTTGAAAAGTAATATAAATTTAGTAAATTGCCCATTAGCTGTCGACACAATGAAAATGAATGAAAAGGCATGTAATAAATCAAATTACCTATTTACAATAGAGTTACTGTATTATATTATTGTCCTTTAATGTTTCAATTTTACTGAATCCACCACCTTGACATTTACTAGCTTGATAAATGTTCTTTTGTTTCTTTTGTTACTTTTAATTTTTTCTCTTTTAGTTTCGGTGCCCACAATCAATAAAGTGGTACTTCTTGAGATTTCAGTTACGTCGATATTAAAAATTATTTAGTTCTTGTACACAGGTGGTGGATATCTTGTGGAAATGAGGCTGGCAGGTCTTAGTGAAGGATAACAAATATAGTCTCCTTCCCATTTTGACACTGAAAGTTAATTTTTCAAATTATTTGTTTTTTAGACATTTTGAATGCAAATAATTCATGCAGATTAAAAAATACACGTTGTTTTTTGTTTTATTATTCTCATTTATTTATATGATCAAGAATGTCATTCTACATTTCATAGTACATGTATAAGAATAATCTATATACACGTATAATTTTTATTGTACAAACTAGATTTTACAAAAAAACTTCCTAACTGAAATTTTTATCATATTTCTTACATAAGCAGCACTAACTGATAATTGCGTGAAACTTTCACTTTCACATAATCCAGTATTAGTACTGAATATATAATAATTTGTGTATCATGCTATATATTAAACAATATAAAAACAGACAGTTTCTACTACGAACATTATAGATCAACTACACATACTACAAAAAATAAAAAGTGAAATGAGTCATAGATATTTGAACATAATTCTTAGAAATCAATCAGCGATTAACCAGACAAATATCAAAATATCATGTTAAGGGCTCTAGTTATTTTTATTTTATAATTTATAATGTATTATGACATGATACGATAGGATATGAAATACATCAAATAGTCAAAAGTAAATAGCGTTTCTTGAACCCAAATGAGAGCAATATTTACTGCAAACAATCACAAAGAAGATGATGCAAACTTTTGTCTTACTAAAGCACAAAGCCACATATATATGTATTACTACTTCAAATTCTTAAACATCACGTTTTATAACGTGTTCAAATTTTAGTATGCCGAGAAAGTTTAACATGAAAAAGCAGTTAGAAATCTAAAACGCAATTAGAATCTTTATGTATTGGAAACTATTGAATCACATTGTACGAATCGTGGAGCTAAGGTACATGTTCCACGTCTCGTGGAGACGGCGAGCTACGATCGTGCACAAGCAAACGAAAACAGGCTACGGGTTTCATCAGTGCGAATCGACACTTTCGTCAATGTTGTGAAAAGCGTTTGTCGTTAAATCGTGCGGGTATAAGCGATCGGGCATGATAGAATGAGATTTTCGAGATTTTCATGCATTATCAACCAGCCTCGTCCACTTGATAGATGTCTCTCGTTCTGGTGCACGAAAACAAACTGCGAATACGCGTATATAATGCTGCAGCTTGGCTGTCTACGAATTGTTGGCAAAGGCATTATGACTAAAGCAATGCGAATAACCTTGTCGATTGCGCTATGCATTTTGTCTGAGTCATAGTTCTATCGTCAGGATGGCAAACAACTGCATGACATTACGAAATAACAACAAACCTGATTTTCGTGCATGACGCACTGTCAACTCGTGACAAACATAGTAGCTGCCTCAATCATAATCAACGAAAATCTTGAAATTTTGACATACCTGCATGCCTCGAGAGATGATTTTCACCCCGGCCACTTCTACACACCCCTCTCAGAGAAAAACATGGCGGCTACTAAAAACTTCACTGACCCTTCACCTTCCTGGTGCTGGCATAGTTCTTGCACAAGACATCGCGGTTTGTTCGGAAATTAACCATCCACAGAGAATAAACTTATCTATTCTCTAGTCTCATTTTTTTCAGTTACGTTCGTAAAATATTTACCCAAATACAAGTTAACAACAATCGAATTAACAGCTTTTGTTTAGTATTTTACTTGTACGGTAAATACAGTTCGTAAACATTATTTTTATATCGTGTTGGTTTAATTATTGTCAATAGTGTGTATGGAAATTGTAAAGAACACATTCAGATCAATGAAGGAATTAATCAGATCCATTTAAATATTTCTCGCACGAGTTTAATATTTTACAGCTGCAACTAGTAATGAAACAAAGAAAAAATTTGAAGGATTCAGATACTAAATATATAAAATATTGTTATACTAACTAAATACAGAATGACACAAAGTTAATCGTATTTTATTTATTTACTAAATTATTTAATAGCAAATTTTTTATAAAGGAAGATTTATGCTGTTTAATTTGCATTGAAAATACTACCCATATGTTCTTAAATGTTTAAAAACGCATTGTAAATAATAAACAAAAATTGCTTTTCTTAAGAAATTACAATGGATATTTCTTTGCAAATATATTTCTAAGAGACGAATAGATTGAAACCAATAATTCTAGATCGGTATTAATTAATACACTGGTAACAGTGAAGAGTTTCGCATCTAGCTAATCATTATTCTCTCATCACTATGTTCAAGTTGGAAAATATGTGAAGGTTAGGTATTTTATCACATTGCGGATAAAACCGACATCAAAAGATTAGAAGAATTACCAAAAAAATATTATAGTACAAAATGAATTCTCTAATTCATACAAAAAGAATAGTATCTGGTCGCAGGACAGCAATTCGCCGTATGTACAATCAATTTTGTTTAATAATAAATTAGAATAATAATTGTAACATTTTCTAATACATATATTATAGATTGTACACGATATATTTATATAACAGGCGAACTTGCAATTACAGCTATTAATACTGGTGATAGATTAACATAAATTTTCCACTTTGCATTGTCATTTTTTTTATGATTTACATAATTGTTTAGATTGTAGGTTATGTTGTGAAATAAATATTTTAATATTATTACAATACATTTATTATCATTAAAATATTTCGAATTATATACATTTAAAAATATAATTCTAAGTGCTTTAAAAATTATATTTATTACAGAATATTGCTGCTTTAAATTATGGTCTAACACCAATTCAATAAATGGTAACTTAGCTTTTATTTATGTGGGTAGAAGAGATTCCAGAAGTAATAGATTGTTATTGCAATCAACGATAACAGAGAACTGCAATAATAGTAATTTACCATATGTACAATACCGTACATTTTTTATTACTCCAACATGGCATGGTCAAGAATCATCTTCTAAAGTAGAAGATACTATAAAGAACATCAAAGAACAAAAAGAACTCAAAACTAAAGCCCAAGACTCTGTTGTTCAGAGTGCATCAAAAGCTGTAGAGAAATCAGAAAAGCTGTCTATATGGCAAAAAGTAAAAGGAGAAATCATACATTATTATCATGGATTTAGGTTGTTGGGTCTTGATATGAAAATTTCATCAAAGTTGATATGGAGAATTTTGAAGGGTAAAGAACTCAGTAGAAGAGAACATAGACTTGTAAGTTATAAATGCCTAATTATAATTGATAATTCTAAATTATTTTCATTTAATTGTTTTAATAATCTTTTTAACATAATTATCTTTAGCTTATAAAAACAACAGGAGATGTATTCAGACTTATTCCTTTCTCTGTTTTTATTATCGTACCCTTCATGGAATTCTTGCTTCCAATTGTTATTAAAATTTTTCCTGGATTATTACCATCTACTTTCCAAACAGCAACGGAGAAGGAGGATAAATTAAAACAAGCACTAAAGGTATTTTTTCCATAATTTTTTGTAACAATTCTTTCAATGATATAATTTTCGAATTTCAGATAAAAATTGAAATGGCAAAGTTTTTGCAAAAAACATTGGATGATATGGCAGTGCAGTCATCTGACTATAAATCGAAAAAAGCTAAAGAATTTGCCGAATTTTTTTATAAAGTACGATCGTCTGGTGCTGTAGCCACTAATGAAGAAATCATGCAATTTAGTAAACTTTTCGAAGATGAGATTACATTAGATTCTCTCACTCGACCGCAGATAGTGGCATTGTGTAGAGTACTAGATGTACAAACTCTTGGAACCTCGAACTTTTTAAAATTTTTACTTAGAATGAGACTTAGAAGTCTCACTGCAGACGATAAAGTAATTATTATGTATATACATATAATTTATTTTTTTAAGAGTAGTAATAATGCAGATATAATAACAATTAATTATCTTTATAGCTAATTGAAAAAGAAGGCATAGATTCACTTACTAGAAGTGAATTACAACAAGCTTGTAGAGCCCGCGGAATGCGAGCGTATGGATTACCAGATAGCAAATTAAAGGAACAATTGTCTCAATGGTTGGATTTAAGTTTAAATAAAAAAGTACCACCTTCATTGTTACTCCTTTCACGAGCGCTTATGGTCCCTGAAACGATACCTATGTCAGACAAATTAAAGGCTACTATTTCTGCCCTTCCTGATGCTGTTGTTGCACGAACTCAAGGTGCAATAGGAGAAAAAGAGGGTAAAATGGATCACAAAACGAATATTGAAATTATTAAGATGGAAGAACGTAAAATCGAAGAAGAACGACAAGAGAAAGAACCGCAAACCGTTTCTTTCCAAACTCATAAGACAGATGAAATTACGAATTCAGATGTAAAAGTGTTAGAACAAGCTTTAGATTCTCTAGGAAAGGTATGTAAAAATTATTTGTCATTGTAGTAGCAGATTACTAGATAAAAGAATTAGAGTAGTAGGAAAATTATTTTTCATTGTAGTAGCAGATTAAATATAGGTATTAGGATTAGAGTAATAGGAAAATTATTTTTCATTGTAGTTGCAGATTAGATATAGATATTAGGATTAGAGTAAAAAAATTACTTTCCATTGTAGTAATAAATTAGAAGGTTTTGTTGTCTTTAAGAATATATATATATTTAATTTTCCAAAGGGTAAGGAAATGTCTGTTGAAAAAGAAGAGTTGAAAGAATTAAAGGAAGAAATGGCCGAGTATCAAGAAGATCTTAAAGAACTTGATGAAATAAAAGCAGCTGCTAAAGGTCAAGAAGATATAGACAATATTAAAGTATCCAAAGGTGCAACGCGTTTGTATAATAAAGTAAATAAGATGATTAAGAAGATGGACGCGGTTTTGACACAACTTGAATCTGAAAAACAAATGAAAGAATTACAAAGGAAGACTATTGTAGATAAAGAGGCAACAATTTCAAAAACTGCCGAGGAATTAGTTAAGATAGATGAATTAATTTCAGTAATTAAAAAAATTCAAAATGTACCTGATGAACATCGATTACAACGCATAAGCGAAATTTTAGCAAAAATTGATGACGATAGAGATGGAGCTATAAAAATTGAAGATGTTTTAAAGGTATGTATATAATATAGATTAAATAATGCAATAACCAAATTTATTAATTGTGTATGATTTTAAGGTATTAGAGTTAATTGGCAAAGAAGATATTAAGTTAAGTAATAAGCAAGTAGATGAATTGCTTGAATTGCTTAATAAAGAAGAAATCTTAGAAGAAAAAGAACAGAGCGAGAAATTGACAGAAAAAGAAGCAAGTGAACTTAAAGATGGAAATTGTACTGAGACAAAATATGTTTCACCTAAATCACCAGTTCCTGCTACACCGGTAACGACTGAAAAGAGTTTCGGTAAAGAAGAATTAGAAGAAGCTATCGAAGAATCGAATAAAAATTTTGCTACACATTCATCTGAAGAAGAAAAAGAAAAGTCAACTGCAGTTCTTAAGAGTAATTCCAATGACCCAGTCAGAAATCCTCCATTGACTCCTGGTGTTCCACCGCCTACAAAAAATGCGGAAGGCTCTAAGCAGCTATAATTATCGCACAATTGAGTATGACTAATGTATGTAATTATGAATACAATCTTTTTACTGGGTACTAATTTAGAAGGCTATTATTCTCTAGAGTATATTTCTACCTCCAGATTTGATATTATTATGGATTTCTTTTTTTACAAAAAAATTTACATAGTAGAAAAAGTTTGCAAAAGAAACAATTGTAATAGTTTCATATGTGTAGTACGCACTTTATGGTAAATATTATTATGTCTCATGTATAATATTTGATTAAGGATAAACATATAATTTTTATATTTATGAAACTAAAGCAGATTTTGAATTCTGAAGACTGTGATGCATTTAGTGGCATCAATATATTATTTGCTCTATGTGTTGGACACAGAAAACAATATTTTTCACATAAATTTTTAATTAATGTAAAGTATGCTTTTTAAAATTGTATGTGACAATATTAATGTTACTAATATCAATGATTAGTGAAATATAACAGAAATATACAGTTTTTATTTCAATGAAATCTAATTCCTAATAATATTGTAATACCATAAAGGAATCATTCCATCTGTTCAAATATTGATTATTATTACAGAATTATATAGATTATAGGTTCTGTTTCGTTGTACAATAGAAATACGCCTCTTTAATCGGTATTAAAACATGTATATGTATAAATAGAATAATTAATTACTAAGTACACAACAGAGAAAACTAGCGATTACGTGTATGTACTGATTACATAAGATTATGTAATAAAGTGTAAAATATTTTAATAATAAGTACTGTTCATTATATGGAAAATTGTATATTTTAAAATTAAATACTTATTAAATGTTAATCACGATTGAAAGTAAATAAAATATTATCTTTATTGGAAATAAACTTGTGAAACAGTATTAAGATACAATTTTTACAATAATTACTAAATAAGAATAATAAAACTATAGGCATTTAAATATGTTTACGTGATAATATATGTATATTTGCACAAAAATTAATACACACATACATATATATGTATATATTGTTATATAAAATTATTTTATTTCAGGTACAACATAAATGGTAATGATGCCCGGAATAATTTTTTTAATTTTATGCATCAAAACTGTCAGTTTATATAATAAAAGTATTTCTGTACAATAATTATAGCAATCTCTTTTGGTATAATTAGATTAATGTATTTCCTATTATTATATTTTATATTCATTTTTTCTTACATCTTTATTTAATATTTTATATCAGATATAAAAAAATAAAATTTAAAAAACCATTTATGTATACTAATGTAAAAAATATTAATTTTTATTTCCTCTAAAATATTGATGGTTTACATCTGTAATTTGCAATTTAAATTTGCTGCTTTGTAGATTGTTCTAAATTTTAGAAATAATTCCTATCTTTATAATTATTATTTTATTTAAATTATTATCATTTTTCTAAAATCTTGATTAGAAATATTGAAGACGTTTTAAGATTACTATAATAATATGAAGTTTATGTAAAAATAACACTCTAGAAATATATATCTAAATATAAATGGAGTTTGAACTTATTAACATTTATACTGATAAATTACTTATATTTGACTTTAATACAATTAAAAATTTTTTTATAAAAACATATATATTATATGTATGATAAATACTTCGATTTTACATCATTCAAAAATTTATAAATAAAAAATAAGAAAGGTGTAGTAAATATTTGTGTATGATACAAAGTATTGTGATATATGTAAGAGGACAAAGTGAATACTTTGTACTACCGGCTACCTCGCTATTTGTAAAAGAGGTGCAAGTTTTTTGTGTATTTAATCATAATGACTGCATTAAGTGGTTTTATGGAATTTTTTCAAAAAGGGAAGGTGAATGTAAATTTCTATTTATATTATATTCTTTTAAAATGTAATATAAATTCTAACCTAATATTACCGATCAGTATTTTGTATTAAATCTATTTAAAATACGTAAAGTTATTTGCTTTTTCTTCAATTACATTTTAATCCATATCGCGTTAATTTACTATATAAATATTTTAAAAAAAATTGTTTAATAATATATTTTAAATTATTTGACGTTTCAGACATTCAGGCCGAAAAAAAAATTTGCTCATGGAACCTTACGATATTCTTTGCATAAACAAGCACAAGCTTCTTTGAATTCAGGAATTAATTTAAGATCTGTCGTAAAATTACCCCCTGGAGAAGATCTAAATGATTGGATTGCAGTTCATGGTATTTCAAATTTTTTATTGATCTATCAGAAGCTTAAAAGGATATGATTTTTATAAGTAATAATATTAATAAATTTCAGTGGTGGACTTTTTTAATAGAATAAATTTGATATATGGTACTGTTTCTGAATATTGTGATTCTGCATCTTGTCCAACAATGAGTGGTGGAGCTCGCTTCGAATACTTATGGGCAGATGGAGAAAAATATAAAAAACCTACTGCACTGCCAGCACCACAGTATGTTAGTCTTCTTATGGATTGGATTGAAGCACAAATTAATAATGAAACCATTTTTCCTGTATCAACAGGTATAAAGTTTTAAAGATTTAAATATCAATTCACTTATTTGATAACTTATTTGTACAACAATTCCTTTTTGCAGATGTACCATTTCCAAAAACTTTTGTACCACTGTGTAGAAAAATTTTGACACGTTTGTTCAGAGTTTTTGTCCATGTTTATATACATCATTTTGATCGTATTGTAGCAATTGGAGCAGTAAGTTTCATATCCTTGCTCAATAAAATATTGTTAATATTTATTAATTATTAAAATTAAAATATAATTAAAAATGTTTGTATTTCAGGAAGCACATGTAAATACATGTTACAAACATTTTTACTATTTTGTAACAGAATTTGAATTAATAAATACAAAAGAATTGGAACCACTGGCTGAAATGACTTCCAAAGTTTGCAAAGATACTGCGTCACCAACGCAAACAACAGCACCAAGTAATGCTAGATAGTCATGAGCTTAATACATAAAGTCATAACCAAATTAGAATGAAACAGACTTGTTTTAATGTAAGTAAAACAGCTAATAATCTTTAAATTTCATTCTCTTGTACGAAATATTACAAAATTCTTATTATCAATATTATATTATATTATATTATATCGCAGGATATTTTTATTACAAAAAGATTTTAAAAATCAAAAAGTTTCATTAAATGTTTTAATGCGTATAATACTTTTAATAAAGTATTAAAAATATGTAGGGAATGTTCGCTGGGCTGGGCGGCCCAGAGCCAATAAACTCATAAAAATAAGATGAGGGACACATCCTTGCGCAGTATCGTTAGGCTCATAAAGTAATTGCGAATATTACTTTATGCGACTGACCGGCCCAACGGGGTATCTAGACCTACCTTCCTAATCACATGATGGCATATAAACTCCCTCAATTTTCTTCTGTTCTGAAGCCGATCTACACCGTCTCCGTGTGCAAGACCCCTCCCGAAAATACTTAAATATATCTCTTCCTAATTAGCCATATTAATGTATAACGAATTACATTAGATTTTGAAAATTCACATTTTATGAATAAATAGTCATAGCAATAATGTTTTTATACTTATATGTTTTAAATGTTAAAATTAGTTTATATATTTTTAAATGTACAGATAGCAAATTAGTTTATATATTTTTAAATGTAGTGTTCGTATTCAAATAATTTTACACTTCGAGTTTTATAAACATTATTTATAGAATTATTTCATAAAAATATATAATTGTACATATAATTTTGCGCTATTAAGATATTTGTGTAATATTCTTCTATATTGTATTAAGAATTACAAACATTTTCTAATAATATTGTACTAATAAGAAACATAGACATCGTACATTATGTAAAAAAAAGTACAAATCTAAAAAATAATAAAACACAAATCAATTTCCATTATAAAAACTTGTTTATTATTTATAAATAAATAACTTGATAATTAATGGAATAATTTATTTGTTAAATACAATGTTAATGCAAATTATAAATCAGAAAATAAATTTTTCGAGGATAAATTTATTGAAGTCAGATAATACATGATCGAAAATGTACTATTTGTTGATGATTAAAATAAGACTACAAAAAATATCACATTGAAATACAAAATTTTTTTGTGTAACTTCAATAATAACTATGTAACATTGTTGTAATTTTATTTTATAATTATAAATAGTTTAAATTTTTATAGTCTCATTTTAATCTAATTTTTTTGCTAAATTCTGTGTCACTTGTTGTTTGTTCTAAATTTATTGATGGAAGTATGTTTACAATCCTAATCTGTACATGCCAGCACGAATAATATTATAATCTTGTAAGTTTTCAACTGGTCCAACTGCTGCAATTACTGGACACTGATCATAAATATATTTCATACCAATATCATGAATATTCGAGGCAGTTATACTCTGCAAATAATTTTGTTTATATAAAAACTGTATTTCAATCATAAAAAATATTTAAATATTACTTACATTTATCCTAGCTTCAAATTCGTGAAGTGGTATGCGTCGGTTATAACAAAGCATTTGTCGGCCAATATCTTCACAAATGGCAGTTGTTCCATCTAATTGAAGGAGCATATTTGTTTTAAGAATGTTCTTCGCGCGCTCTACTTCTTTTTCAGTCACTGACGTGCACAATCGCATCCATTCACGTTGCAAATTGTGTATAAACCATTCAATTTCCATTGGATCAGATACAAAGTATACACCCCAAAGACCTGTGTCCTATAGAGAAGATATTTCATATTAACATATGATTAATATACAATATTAATATAATGTAGTAACATAAGTTAATAATAAATACTTGATAACAAGTATTGAAACTTTGATAACTGTGGCATAGTTCATCATGTGCAGAAGCTTCAGCTAAATAACTTATATTGTTTACACCTCCTCCTTGGCTACGATCCCATGCTCCCATAAGGGTATTCGCAACCATAAGAGGAATGTTATCTGGATCAGCCCAACCAGCACCTTCAATAGCAATGGCAACATGTGCGAGAGGAATACTATCATCGCGAACTCTTATTTCTGATCCTGTGTAACGGCATGGTGATAATACAGGAGGAATTTCATCATAGACTGGCCCTTTCATTTGACCAAAATGTTTTTCAGCTAATTCTACTAATGCATTGTGATTTACGCCACCTGCACCAGCTAAAATGAATCTGTAAAGATATAATAATATTTAGTATGTACAAAAAAATTTGTGAATAGATATAATTACCTAGGTGGACCATAATATTGTTTAACATATTGAACAAGATCATTTCTTGTAATTTTTTTAATATTATTAGTGGGGCCAAGGATTGTTCTTCCTAGTGGTGTACCCTGATATGCACTGGCATGTAAATGATCAAAAACAACTTCTTGTAGATTTGTTTCAACTTCTTGCATTTCTCTTAAAATAACACCACGTTCCCTTTCAATTTCATTCTCACCAAGCTTTGAATTTTGAATGATATCACTTAAAATTTCAACAGCTTTTGGAACATCTTCTGCCAGACATTTGGCATAAAATACTGTTTGTTCCCTGCTTGTGTATGCATTTAAATGAGCACCCATATTTTCAATTTCTAATTCTAAGTCAGTTTGCGAACGTTTAGCAGTTCCCTATTTATAATTATATTCTTACTTTAACTATTATTTTGAACAATCTGTTTCAATTAAACATAGACAACATTATTTACCTTAAAAGCCATGTGCTCCATAAAATGGGCAACTCCATTGTTTTCATCAGTTTCAAAACGACTGCCAGCATCAATCCATAGTCCAACTGTGGCTGTTGGTGCTCCACTGTCTTCAGTGGCAACTCTCATACCACAATCTAAAGCTGTAACTTGTGTTGGTGGTTGATTCAGCAATATTTCTTTCAATGATGTTGATGTGGATTGCCATTGCTTTGGTACCTGATATAAATATATTTATATAGACATATAATGGAAAGAATTATAAAAGAAAAAGAAGTATAAGAGAGTAATTTCATTTATTTTATATCGGTTCATTTTATTCGATGAATATACTAAAATTGACTAATCTTAACTGAATTAATTTTGTGAGCTATGATAATAATTAAAGGACACAAATTGTAAGTTTAGTAACATTATAAATTGCAAAAATGTAATTAATACGATCGTTATTATCAATTCCTGCAAACATATCTGTCAAAACTTAGGTTTTCTGTGTTTATAACGTTACTGTACAAGATGAATTATACGCATTATAGGGTTATGATAGTTTAATATAAATACTCCCATCATAGTACTCGATTTTCTGAAACTTATTTGTCTTTCGTTAATAATAATTCATTATGTTTCTTTTGTTTCTGCAAACATTCAAAAAGTTCATTCTTATTACGTAAGTAGTAAATGGATTCAATAGTTTTTCATCTTTAGAAAATTATATTGACTTGAATGTAGAATTTGAGGAATTGTTCTGGTATCATCTAACAAAGATGCTATTGTCATAAAATTTTAATTTTAGTACCTTTACAAGGCTGGTATTGTTGGAATAAGCCCGCAGTGCGGAGCTAACTTTAAGCAGACGAGTCGCCATTTCTTGAAGTCTCCGTAACTGTACAACCTTGTGACAAGTATGGTGGAACAGTTCGTACTAATGCTTGGAAATAATTTCGACACACTTTTTTAATATTATATATATACGTATATATATAAATAAATATTAACGAAACAATACATGAAAATCTATATCCACTATGACAGTAATTTAATTGTACATTTCGTATAGGGTAAAATTAACAAAAAGCCGATCATTTTAAAATAGAATATTGATAAGGCTATTATTTGATTGCATTTTACAAAATCTTTATACTATTTTTATTTTTTAATATATATTAAATATCGGAAAAGAAAATTCAATCATGTTGAATATTGCATATTAATAATATATTATGACGTATATATTAAAAAATGTGCGTTTTTTACTAAATCATGAACTTTTAGGACTATTGATCTAGGGAATTTTCTTGGATTGAAATAATTCCCTATCTCGTTGTCAGCACTTACTGTAAAATTCGAAAACCGGCACGGTTGTCAAGTACTTCATGGTTGTAAATATTAGTGTTTCCTAATGAAGTAATTAATTTTGTTTAAACTACATTGTTAGGTTTGTTGTTAGATCTTTTGCCTTGGTTTGAAAATGAATACCATGAACAGTACTACCGAGAATTTAGAGCGATCTATACAAATGTTTAATCAAGAAAACGCTCAACGAAGATCATTTTTGAGGTTAAGTGGGAAAAGCACACCCTCCAAGAGGTTATCGTTACAAAATACCAATTATTTACGAAAAGACTTTGATGATTCTCACCAATTTAATGACGTTAATAGTCCAAGAATGGACAAGTCATATCCTCATTCAAGATTGATTAAGGGCCATGATCTTTTGGATATTGATACTTCATTGACCCTCACTCTTCATGAAGTACGAGATATAATGGCTGCTTCAGAAAAAAGTGAATTTACTTTGAGAGAAATGATGGAAGACAGTACTGCCACTGGCATGATTTTGAAAGCGAAAGAACCTTGGAAAAACATGTCTAAACTTTTTTATGATTTTTTACATACCATGCAGGTGAACTACTCGGAGGCACAGGTGTTTGACACTATTGCAGACTTTATACAAAACTGTACAGACACATTAGATATAATGAGAGGTATATAGAAAATTATGATATGTATATTAACTTTATATCACATCTTTTGTGTAATTATATACACATTTTTATCATTTAGGTATGCAGTCAAAGGTAGAAACCACCGAAATATCAGAAGAAGAAATTTCTTTAGAGAATGAAAGGAACACATGGAGGCTTGTTTATTGTTTGTATCAAAATAGAATAAATAGTCTGAATTTTCCAACTCCAATGGAAGATGATGTAGAGAATTCCAGAGATGATGCACAAGAAAGAAATATATACATATCAGAGAAGGTTGTAGTAGATAACATGTTTAAAACAGAAAGCTACATCAGAGAATATCAGTTAATAATTGACTGGATGGAAAAGAATGCATTGGATCAAGCAGATAGATATCCAACCACTGAACATTTCACAGATAAGACACTTGCATGGGAAAATACTGTGAGACAATTATTAACATATAAGGACAAAGAACAAATCCCGTTTCATTCATCTAGGCCATTGGTCTCATCTCTAGATCCAGATGCCCCAATAAGAGAAGGAAAACCTCTGCATGATTTAGATAGGGAAGATGATGCAAGATTGGAAAAAAGAATGTTTATAGAGGTACAGATCTGTAATAAAACAATTAACTAAAAAGGTATTTAAAAAAATGTATTTTATTTAAACAGGTTCGTTGCGGTCGTTTACAAAAAGCACAAGCATTAGCTGAACACTGTGGGCAACCTTGGCGAGCTGCTTGTTTGTTAGGATGGATACCTCATCATGATCCTAACTATTGCGATACCGACTATCAAAATGATCCTGATTATAAAAGATCATCTGATTCCAAATTGCCTATTGAAGGAAATCCCAATAGAAGCCTTTGGAAATTATGCGCTTGGGAACTTTCCCAGGACAAACGCGTAGGTAATGATTTTTTATTATTTGTACTATAAATTTATCAAGCTATTTGTGTCATAAATTTACAATCGAGATTTTTGCATTCAGGTCAATTTTATCGCACCATTTATGCTAGTCTTTGTGGAAATCTTCAACAAATGCTACAGGTGGCATCTTCTTGGCAAGATGCACTATGGGCTTATATGAAAACACTGTTAGATATTAAAGTAGAGAGGGAAATGAGAAATCTAGTGGTAAAAAGTTTCACAGACATGCCTGACGACTACTGGAAAAATGAAATCTCGTTGAAAGATGTATTTAAAGAACTTCACGCATCGAAAAATCCTGATATTCGAGCACAATCAAACAAACCAGATCATCTAATTCAGAAATATTTGATATTGGATCAAATACCAAAATTGATGGAGGAAATAGAGGACATGATAAATATGAAGTCCTGCGATCCTCATTTTTTAAGGTTTTTAACGCATCTAATATGTTTCTTTCGCCAAATTGGAAAAAATTCCAAGGATAGAATTGGAGATAAAGTTATATTGGCATATGTTCAGGTTTTAATTGAAATGGATGATCCGATTTTGATCGCCTTTTACACAGCTATGTTGCCCCAAGAACTTCAAGTAACAAATTATGCTAGTTATTTGGAAACTATAAAAGAGTACGAGCAGCGAAAAAAATGCTTAGCCGCGGCAGAAGAAGCTAATCTAAATGTAGAGGCAATTACAAAACTAGTAGTAGAAAGTATACGCTCTAAAAACATTGATGTAGATCCCACTGACTTGAAAGGTAATTTGACTGACGCAGACATGGACAAGATTAATGCATTGGATTGGTTAATATTTTATCAAAGTCAACGAGAAGAAGCGTTGTGGCAAACCAATGCTCTTATAAGGTATTTTTTGACAAATGAAAAAATTGACGCTGCCAGAAAAGCTTTCAATAAGGTATGAAACTAAATAATTCGTTATTTTTCAATTGTTTTTTAATCGAATTGTTTGTTAAATCTTGCAGATTCCAATGGATTCTATTGAAGCCATAATGACTGAATATCCAACGATAGAAGGTACTCTAACAAATCTAACAATGACAAATAGTCTATCGAAAAAAGCGGCTTCCACAATTCGGGAATATCTTTGTTATAAGACCTACCTTGATGCTCAAGAAGGCTTTTCCGAATGGTTTTCTCATTATCATCATGGAAAACCTACACCATTAGAAGAGCTACCTATGTACGCGACGTTCACCGAGAAAGTTGCATATGAACATAAAAAATCACAATATAACGTAGAAATGGAAAGATGGAAATCTACAATGCAACATCATACAAAAGTTCGTAGAAGAAAGTTTAATATAACGTTAGTACGAAATAAAAATTGTTAAACATTTCTTCAAAAGTATTAATCTTACAGGCAGTTAAACAATTATTGTTTAATGTATTGCTATTTCCGGATGGTGGTTGGTTGGTTGATTCAAATAATAATAATGATGAACCGTCTACACCGGAAAAACTGTTTCGCGAGTATCAAATGGAAAAGTTACGGGAACTTTGTATTCCAAAAATTACGCTTCTTTTGCATTCTGTGATGTCTGAAATGAACGAACACGCCGAATGCATCCAATTGGCAGATATTCTTGCCTCTGAACAGTATCAACTTTATAAGGTATATACTGATATGCGCTGTTTATATATGATCAATAGATTAAAAATAAAAATAATAAATTACTTCGATTTATTTCAGGTATTTCAAAAAGGAAGATTACGCGATGTATTTAAGAAAATCTGCGAGTCTTCTCTTATTCTAATGGATCAAAAGAAAGATCCTTGGGGGTATCCAAAATGAATTTAGCGAAATAAAACATAGCTAATATATTTAATTGTACATGTAATACGTGTTGAAATTTGAAATATCGGAGAAATGTATAGAAAGTTTCTTTCCCTTTTTTATAAAACCAGTTTATTGTCAACCACAAGAAGTGAATATAAAATTTGATACAATGTTCAATAATTCATAATCATAATATATTATATACCTCATGATTACTTAGATGCTCCTTTTACCCAATCATTAATGTAGCGCTGTCAAAGCTGTAGATTTAACGCGTGAAATATTGCGGAGAAACTCAGGGACAATGAAGGACATACATTATCCTGAGATATTTTCATTTGAATAATAATCATCATAATTCCACGATTTTTTTTTTCTATAGTTTAGCCACTTCTAAATTTCATACACATCGCCGGTATCCTCGGACACGAATCTGCGTACAATGGATAAATACAAATGTGTTTATTCATATATGGAATTTCAACGGAAACCTTCCCAAAGTATCTATATATCGAACGAAAAGATAAGGATCATGGATAAAGAACGAAGGTGTTCGTGATGCATGATGCACATTGGAATCTCTAAATCTATTTTCACAGGGTGTTTGATACTTTTTTGCTGGCAAGAGCAGTCTTTTCATAACATTTTTTTTTTCGAGAGCATTCTTCTCTCTTCTTCTTCTATGTGGCTTGATGCGTATATTATTTGCTGTCTTATTTTCCTCTTTGTTTTCTGTAAAAAAAAAAAAAACAAAAAAAAAGAAAAGAGAAAAAAAAAAAAAAAAAACAAAAAAAAAGAAAAGAGAAAGAAAGAGACAAATTGACACTATAAATGAACCATCACCTATTCGCATACTACATATAGACTATATGAAGAAAATTAACATTGCACAGAAATGCTTTTCGTTCATAGCTCAATCAGGGAATCAAGTACATTTTCCTGGATTATACGAAGTCGCAATTCTGTGTATCCATTCGCCAACGAATTGAAACTAGAAGGTTGTATGTTATATCACGGAATAATTGACCAAAATATAGACATTTACTCGATGTTTATCCGAATTACTTTCATTTCATATTTTAAAGTTCTTAATACGTAGAATTTCAGAATATGAATCGTTTGGACAGTCATTGAAAAAATTTACTGTATTCAAATTCAATTGTTAGTCTAATAATAATTAAGTGAACACTAAGAAGTCTAGAAGTACAGATTTGATAATATATTATGTTTCGCAAATCTTTGAACTTATTTCAAAAAGCTACAATGCTTTTACTAAATTATTCAAGTTCAATGAACAATGTATGATAATCTTTTGCACAATAATAATTTTCACCACAATCAGGAAAAATAGTCGTTTTACAAAAAGTTGTAAAAAGATAAAAGTGCACGTAAAAATATAAATATAAATCAACGATGCAAATAATTGTAGCTTCGTGAAACAAGTTTTCTGAGCATTTGTATGTCGTTACGATATCTGTTCTCGATTGAAGATACCACGAGTAAGATTTCTTGTCCGAAAACAGATAAAAAGAGAAATAAGAGGAAAAGAAATGACGATACGTGCAACATTATACACATACATGGCTTAAAATGCACTATACTGAAATTGAAAACATCGACATTGAAATTCAAACTCGTATACATCTTTGTATGCAGTTAGTAGGCTTAAACTCTGGACCAGAGCGTTATTATTTTCACGGTGACCATAAACTTCAGACACGTGCGAGTATTTCGGTGTTTGATAAATGCAATCAGTGATCGAAATTAAATTAGACAGTCGTATATAGCCTAATGCTTAAACTATGTTAAATACTTTCATTTTGTTCTTCTTCTTTAATAACGCAAAAGACAATACGCGACGAAATTATTAAAAAAAAAAGAAAAGAGAAACGCTCGATATGTCTTGAAACCCAATGTTCGCACGTGTCTTGTGAAAACACGAGGATCTTGACAATTGAACCGACTTTACAGTAATACGAGTACACGATTAATAGAGTTATTTTGTTGATTAGTCTAGTCTAACACGTAAACGTTGAAAAAAACGGTTGACAATTGTTTTATCATTTCTCGATAATGCTACGTTATTTTTTTTTTATTTTTTGTTTACTCGAGAGCTCGATAAATTCGCCGAAACATTTCGCACACTTTTCAGAATTAGGCTCGTCTTTTTTTTTTTCTTTGTTTCTTCCTCCAGCTCGGATTAAACAGTCGATAGACTCCTTACTTCTTCTTCTTCTCCTTCTTCTTCTTCATCTTCTATTTTGTTTTTGTTTTTTTTTTTTTTTGTATTTTCGTTTCGTTTCGTTTAAACTTTTACGAACTAAGTTATCCTCTACGAGACGTACTAATTACTAATGGGTGCGCGTCAGCATGTTCGAAAACGACTTACCTACGGATACGACTTGGATATGGATCTTATGAAATTTTATTTCTCTCCTTCAACTCTTCGCACTCGTGTCTGGGTTGACTCTACTACTTTCGATCGAATCCAAATGCCCTTATATTTCTCTGTCTCTCGACACGTTCTCCCTTAACGATAAAATATTGCAACATCCCTCCCCTCCCTCCCTCCCTCTCCAACGATGCTCGTCGTTCAAAAAATATAGATCCTTAAAATTTGTTAAACACAACTCAGGACGGTCTATCGGTAATAAATCAATTCATCTTATCGATGCCGCTTTGTACCTTCTTCGTATTGCCCTTGCGAATAAAATCCTGCCTCAATGTTTTTGCCTCTTAAACTCGATACCAGTACACGTCGTTTCTTCCTCTATTTCGTCTCTTCTTTACACGTACAGTACTGTCACGGATTTGTTACTCCAGAGGAAGTAAGCGGAGCGCATTTCCAAGAGTGCAAAGAGCCGAAGCACCGATATTAATACCGTTTCTCCCTTTCTTCCTTCTCTCTCGCTCTCTACACCGTGTTCGTAAGTGTGAAAATATATTCTACGACAAGGAGAATAAGATTCAGAAAGATATCCAGCTTTTAAAAGCCTCCCGGTTTAACCCTACGATATATCGTTGAAACAAGAAGTTCTTCGTCGTTACATGCATATTGACAGTGTTCGAACAATACATCCTTTCGAATAATCGACATCATTAAAATCGCTAGTTCGAGTGTTTTTTTTTTCTTTTTTCTTTTTTTTTCTTTTTTTTTTTTTTGTTCTTTGCTTATCTCTACGGTTCGTCGAATGTTTCCCACTTTCATTTTTTTCCCCATCTCGATTTTTCACGTCGCGTCGCGTCGTTCAGTGGCAGAGTCAAGTCGCAATCTTCATTTTCTCCTTTTGTCGTCTAGCCACTCGATCTTCCGAAATGTTCCTCAGACAGCATTTTGTGGGGAGAAAATCAGAGACGTAAACGCCGATCTCGAGGGACGTTCGTCAAATTTCTACCTTGATTTCCTTAACGTTCGAATTCGAGAGAGAGAGTTCGCTGTTGTCTTCGTCTTCTCTTCTTCTTTTCTGTTTTCTTTTTTTCTTTTTTTTTTTTTTTTTTTCGTCTGGATAAAACACTAATCGAGAACGCTTCAAAACCCTTCGAATCTTATATTAGGGATATGTTCATGAGGATATGTGAGCGGGTATAGTAGAAGAAAAGAACAGATATAACAAATATGCAAAGGCTCGTCGAAACTGTCAGCCAAGAATGGATCAAGCAACGAGGAACGTTCTCACACGCATCCGAATTGAACGCTAATTAATTAAGATGGAATCTCGTTCTATCGATCTCCTGTTTCTTCAGTTCAATTCCTCCAAGTTGATCGATTCTTCGACCTGTCGACTTTCACACGAGAGGATCGGTGTGCGCACGAAAAAGAGAAATTACACACGGTGAAACGCTATTTCGACTACGATACGAGAGACACAGAAAATGTAAACGTGTTTTCACTCTCTACAAAGATAGATCGTTCGACGATTCGAAACTCACGCTTGGGATATCTCGCACGGTGAAATCAGAAGCCGATCAATTGGTCGACAATCAATCAGTAACAATCGGTGACACGATCGTTCACAAAATCTTCGTTTAAATACCTTCGTTTCATTTCTCACAGTTTTCATTTTTAAACTACACGTCGACACAGCGAGAAAACATGGTTTTTCACTTAGTTTCTAAACTATTTGTTCGATTTTCTTAATCGCTAACTAATTTCGAGGGACTGCGTCGCTCGGGCTGCTCCGTGAATATTCTACAGGGGTAAAAGGGTGAAAACGAGTGACAAAGAGAAAAAGAGAGAGAGAGAGAGAGAGAGAAATGGTTACGCGTAGAAAGTGCACACACGCACACACACATATGTATATATAGATACATATACGAAAGACAGAGAGAAAAAGAGAGGAGAGGAGAGACGAGATTGTTAAAAAGAGAAGATCTTTACATTCCTATCTAAAACTTTCGTTCGTTCGTTCTGTACGCTCGTTTAACAGCTAATATAATAGCCTTAAATGCCGGCGGAGAACGTGCGCGCGCTGTTTAACTTCATCTTTTTGTACACTTACACCTCGAATAATTGATCCGTACAGATACATTGTTTGTCCTCTGAACAAGTGGCGTTCGCTGTCCTACGATCGAGCATCTCTTCCGCGCGCCATTCCATCGTACAAATGGCTTTGTATTTATTATTGTCCGATCTTAACAACCGACCAACAACGGTCGATCGTCGAGTGTTTGTACTTGAAAGGAACGATCGTGATTATTGTCCGGGATCTCAAAATTGGGAACGGTAAACCGTATCCGTGGATATTGTCGAATGCCTGGAACGTCCGCGAACGTTTCTCAGAGAATGTGTCGTTCGGATACGTTTTACCATCCCCTTCCATAAAATATAGAACTCTTTGGGGGGTCGCAATCGCAGTTGCGTTATTGTCCGAGTAACTTTGGCGAACGGACGATCGATCCTTGACGGTTAAGCAGCTCGTTTTATTTATTGTCGCGAGAGCTCCGGACGCGGGACAGCAAGTTACGTACATGAATTGTATGTACATACGTCAAAACCGGCGAGTTCATCGAGAAACGATGTTTTTCTTTCTCTCTGTTGCCCGGTTTCGCTCGCGCGAAAATCGCTCGATTCATCGGAGCAGCCCCCTCCTCTGAACTTCCGATCGTCATCGTGTTATTGTCGTTCACAGAGCTTTTTCTTTTTTTTTTTTTTCATATCTGCTTACGCGCTACGATCTGGCTCGTTCTCTCTTCGAACGACTCGCTTCGAAAGAAGTATAAAGACGCGACAACAAGGAGAAACGGATGGCGAAAAGCGGGTGAGACGAGGAAGAAGAGAACGGAAACGGAGGACGAGGATGTGTGTACGTCTATCAGGGGCGTGAAGAAAATTATGCGGGATTGCGGAGTGTGGAGGATCGCCGTCGAGTACTACCGGAAATATTGGGATCCACGGTCCGATCAAGCGGATCCTTCCGCTTCGTCGCTTCTTATGGTCGCTTAATTTTATCTTTACAAACGCGTGTAATACATATCCTTACTTAACACTTGTTGTTTCTTCAACGCATTTCTCACGTGAAAGACGCTTGGACAACGTTGTCCAACATTGCGTACACGTTCGCTCGTTTTTACGAATCACTCGGATGATCTCTTTGGATCGAAAGGAGAGGAGAACGATACAAATTGTGTTGGATTTTTTTCGTCTGATCGTCGGTTGGTAAACTGCAAACGGTACAGATTGGACAACGTTGACAGCTGAAGGACATAAATTTCTGAATTTTCGTTTCGTACGTATGTATGCACGTAGTACCTCATATAATGTATGTACGTTTAATATATATATATATATATTTGTATGTATATATATATATATAATGTTTATGTTAGGTTTATGTATTCATATATAATTAAATACAGGCTGGTCTTCGTGCGTTAAGCAATCGGAATTGCAAAGAATTTTGTTCGCTGCTGGCAATTTTGAGGATACCCCGTTACTTAGAATCTGGATAGTTCTTTCCTTTTTTTTTTTTTTTGTTTATATTCACATTTAAAAAAGAGGGAGAGATATATCCTTTTATTCTGCTACGTTGTTAATCTCTACGTTTCTAGAATGATTATGTATTTTTTTGATTTCTTGGTTGCGTTTCTTCTTCATTTCTTGCGCGTATCGCGCTACCTGTTCGCTGACACGTCATTGCTCGAATAAATTCTCGTCAAATTCTTGTTAAATTATGCCGGTTTGCTTCACTTGCGACGCCTTTGTAAAACGAAATATTAACGTTAATACTTTCTCTTAGAAATTCACAACGTACGATAGGTCGAAGACGCGCAAGAAACCAGCTCCCAAGTACTGCGGGGCATCTCTTGTCCGAGTGGTTCCTAATTCGTGTAATTAGAGAAGTTTATTATCTGTACCCAAGGCACATTTTATACTTTCATTCCGTTTTAGGAAGGTCCACTCTATAGTATGTACATATTATAGCATTGTTACACGTATAGGGGATAGTTTGCAACTGTATCACCCTTAAATTATATAATGTCTTGACGTTACCTTGTACATATTTTCTCGCTTTTATTTATTTATTTTTTTCCCCCCTCTCTTCAGCGATTCCTTCATCGTTCACTACCCTACGTATTATTGTCAAGTCGACAGCATTTATAAATGTATAGTCTTAAATACTACTCGATCTTTAATGTTACATTATATTCGACTATAGCTTTGTGCAAAATTTACATTGTACATATACCACGGATACTTTCCCCGTTCTTTCGTTTATCACCGATATACACGATCGATCCTATCGAATCCGATCGATTCTCCACGACAAATTAGATATACATATATATATATATATATATATATGTAAATCCTTCCCTATCCCTTTTCGATAAACAACACAAGTTTCACGTTATTGTCAGAAATAATCCATCGTTTATACCCCGATCCTGAATTACTTATTATTGTCAGAAATTATTATTCACCCTCCCGTTTTTATTTTTTCTGCCTAAGTAGTCTCTTAAATTCTTAAACGTTAAAAATCACCTCGAATCTCGTTCTCCTCAAGTGCCGTGTTAATATGTGTGTATTGTATGTATACAATATATATATATATTTATATGTATGTATATATATATATATATATAAATATACATATACATATAGCATAATATGAAATATTGAATCTGATAGAGATCTTAAAAATATTCTGCTAATCTTTTACGTTACGATTAAACCTTACGAGCTAAGTACTTTCTTACAACCTTGTATCGTGTTCAGCAGATTTTTAACAATCGCCTCTTCTTTTTTTTTCTTTTTCTTTTTGTTTTTTTTTTTTTGTTTTATCACCATATCGTTATCTACGCGAGCTAACGCTTTGTTGTTGCACGATTTCCCTTTCCTCGTTTTGCCTCGTTTCAGATCTAGTCCTGCGATCTTGCACGTTACGCCCACAATTCCTCGCGTATCTCTCGCTAGACGACATTCAACGGTTAATTCATCTTATGAACGTTAACATACTGATGACGAACGTCGTTGTGACCATCGACAGTAACGGCACCGCCATGTGTGCGCTGTTGACAACGTTTATCTTCCAGCCCAAGTTATTGTGCGTGTAACACTGCGGAAAACAAATTGAACGAATGTTGTATTACTAGATTGCAGATTTTTATCCGTTTAAAGATGCAGATATAGAATGCAAAAATACATCAAATATCCAAAGTGTAATACTTCCAGTACAGCCTCTGGTCGTTGAATTAGAATTTTCAGTAACTGAACAAACTGAAGACTTTGTATGTAGTTTGGTAATAAATTTTCTTAATCGTTCGCAAGTCTACAAAAGTCGTGCTTCGTGTTTCCTTTTATCTCAAGTTCAACCTTTTTATTATTGGTATGACAGAAAAGTATTTTTGCATAAAAAAACCGTAGTTCACGCATCGTCTTCTTACGTTTTAGAATCAATGGCTCACTTTTTTTTCGTGCCAACGAAATATTTTCGAATCGTACCTGGTAGTAAACCAAATCTGGAGTGTCCTCGGCCACGGTCCAAACAAGTTTAGCCGGCTCACCCTTGTCACACTCCAGCCTAAGTGTTTCAAAGAAATTCTCGAAAGTTTCCATATCCTCGCTCATGTCTATCGTCTTGTGAACCCATTCGCAGTAACGACCAGCCGCCGTGGGATAAAAGTATCCGTCCGCGTCGCGGCCCACTCCGGCGAACACCGTTTGTGCCATTTGCTCTTCCTCGGTCTTCTGGCCGAATCCACCCTCTGGACTGTCGGTGATATAAAACGGATGGTACCTGCACGAAGAAAATCCCATTTTCACATACACGTTCCACGAAAGTGAAGCGAAAGCTTCGACATTCGACCGTCGGAGCAAATTTAAAGGGAAGTAATTTGTCAAAATACCGACTCGATAATACGCATTGATTCATCCGTTGAAAATTCTGTGGACATTTCTGTGGTAATTATCGAGCGTGGAATTGGCAGCGAAATGAAGGAAACTGAATGCAAACTGGAGTGTTAATAGTTTGAAATTTCAACTCGCCTGGCTGAATTAGCCTGATCGTTCCCTCCTTCGACTATAAACGTGTACGTCTCTCCTCTCTCCACCGTGATTTCTGGGATCAGCAGGTCGTTGATGTACCAAGCGATTCCCCAAGCAGGTTGTCCTACATTATTATAATCCTCGATTACTACTACGTTTAATCAGCGATATAAAGTTTCGAAGCACTTCATATTTTGGAAATTACAAGTTTCATTTCAATCGTGGATCATTATACTTTCAGAGCATTTAACGTGCTCGAAACTTTCGTGCGGAAGTGCGTATAAAATGCTCTGGAATGGAAAGTTTCTCGAGAATAGCGGACCAAAATCCACGTTTCAAAAATGGTCTCGAGGTTCTTTGAGATAAATTTAGAGTGGACGAGCCTAGAATAGATACCCGTGATACTCGTGTATCCTCTCTTCCCACCGGCGGGTCCGATCCTCGCGCTGAACGTAGTTTCGTTGGTGATTACTGCTGGCGGCCAGGGTTTGATGTCAGACATGTCCGGCAGGTTGTAGAGGGAATTTGTACACTCGTGCACGTTTCTCGACGTAAAATCAATACGAATGTCCTCGGTCGTCTTGTCGAAGCTCTGATGGGCATTGGCTTCTCCTCGGAGATTCAGAGGACCTATCGCCGCGATCACGCTTGTCTCTGTGTTCGGGATCATTCTGTCCTTCACCGGCTCGTTCGTGCTTATAGGTCTCATGTAGGTAACTGAAACATTTACCAAAATCAATTTGCCATCTTTGAAGAGAGTCATATCGTGTGAAATATCCATCAATTTCGGGTTTCCCTTTGTGGAAAACCGAGATATGAAAGTACGAACACGAAGATACGTGTGAATATACACGCTCTTGTTCTAGCCACTGTGTTCGTGCTCATAGGTCTCATGCAGGTAACTAAAAATATTTACTAAAATTGTTGAGTTTACGTTTGTCGTTTTTGAGAAAAAAAAAACATTTCGGTGGTGACAAATTTCATAGGTGTCCACCAATTCAGGTTTCCCTTTATAATATAATTTTAAATTAATTTAGTTTATCAAAGTTTTATAATAAAGGTATATTTTAGTAAAAATTAAAAATTAATAATATTATTAATAGTTTAAAGTGATGAAAATGAATTTTTAGAAAATAAAATTTATTTCGTATATAAGGGTTATATAAGGCTTTTGTATCAGGGTTAATTAATTTATTTTAATAATTTAGTTATCTCAAAAGTAAATGATCTAAATATATATATATATATAATTTTTTGGAAAATAAAAAAACAATATATTTAGAAATTAAATGTTTTTCTAAATTTTTTATATAATATATCTTATATCTTAGAATATTTTTATATTATAAATATATAATATCTAGTTTTTTCTTCTAAATAAATTTAATTTATTTAAAAAACAATTCCCTGCCTGACGCGGTATGAAAGTACGAAGCACGAACGTACGAAAGCGCGTGAAGCCGAATTCTCACCTGTGGTAACGCCGTTCTTTCGTTCACCGTGCACGAGAACGGCGTCGTTCTTCCCTCCGACCCTTTCGTCCGGACACACGCCCTTTCTACCGTCGCACTGCGCGTAATCCGACATGTAGTAGTCCTCCGCGATGAATTTGCCGGTCCTGTTGTTGTATGCAACCACGACCACGTCGCCGCCGATCATCTCGGACTTGCCCTCGCGGCCGGACAAGCCGAACGCAACGTACTGGTCCTCCCTGATCCGGCCGGACACTCTGATCTGTATATCGTCGCCGATCATCTCCCACTGGACTTGCACGCGACCTTCGAGCATCTCCTTGCAGTTGGTCAGCTCGAGCTTCGACAACGGCGGCGTGTCCCTGTCCGGCGGCGGCGGCGTGCTGCTCGTCTGCAAAAAACGATGGCGGTCGTTCGCCCTTCACATTCGGTGGCACACACGTACGCAAAACGTGATGATCGTTTTCTGAGACATGGATGTTGTCTGTTTGATAGACTCTACGTTACTTACAGGATCGTACCACCAAGGCGGCTATCCCGATAAAAATACATTTCGTTAATGAAATGTCAGGCTCAATTCAGAAAGATTTTCGTTAGAAAAAACTCTTTAAACTAAGGCGCATGAGATACTAAAGGAAAATGAGGTTTCGCGAGTACGTTCGCGAGCAATCCGTTTCGAGTTACCGCGATTTTCGTCTGTCCGAGAGCCGGCGGGACGTCCAGGTCCTTCGGGATCATAACGTGGCCGAAATTGTGCTTGTACTGGACACACCAGACCGACAGCCAGTCGATGTCGTGCACGGTCAAGTTCCCGGGCAGGACGATCTCGATGTCCTCTCCTTGGTAACCTCTCAACGGCGTCAAGCTGTAAAGTTCACAATTTCTTTCTTTCTTCCTTTCTCTTACGCCTCGTTTCTCCAACGCGTGAAAAAAAAAGTCCAACCGAATCCTTAACCCCTTGCGCTGGAATGACTTGCCACGCACGTCGAGACTATTTTGTCCCACAATTGCAATATTTTCTCAGTTTTAAGTATATTTAGGTACAACCCAGGCAAAACAAACAGTAAATTTATTACTTTACAATAATTTCTATCCAGTGACATCATACCAACGAGTTCGAAAGAAAAAGAAAGCGACGAATTATTGTATACGGTTCGGTCACTCGTTATGGTCCGCAATCAGTTGCCAATTGGTTAACCTCTTGCACTGGAATGACGTGCTACGCGACTATTTCGTCCCACAATTGGAATATTTTCTCAGTTTTAAGTATATTTAAGTAAAACAAATAATAAATTTATTACTTCTTAATAATTTCTATCCAGTAAGTATACCGACGAGTTCAAGAGAAAAAGAGTGACGAATTACTGTATACGAAAAAGAAAGTGACGAATTACTGTTCGGTCACTCGTTATGGTCCGCAATCAGTTGCCAATTGGTTAACCTCTTGCACTGGAATGACGTGCCACGCGACCATTTCGTCCCACAATTGCAATATTTTCTCAGTTTTAAGTATATTTAAGTAAAACAAATAATAAATTTATTACTTCTTAATAATTTCTATCCAGTGAGTATACCGACGAGTTCAAGAGAAGAAGAGTGACGAATTACTGTATACGAAAAAGAAAGTGACGAATTACTGTTCGGTCACTCGTTATGGTCCACAATCAGTTGCCAGCGCAAGGGGTTCAACTAAAGGGAGGTGAACGTGTAGTGTATACCTCTTTCTTTCGCTCGGTACTTTGATACCGAACGTGTTGGGCTCCGAGCCGTTTCCAACCCAGAAATAGGCGTCTGGACCGGCGCCGTCGTAATGCAGATTCGGAATGTAAATAGTTTTGCAATCTAGGATGGTGACGTTCCCGCTACGGAGGCCGTGCGCAAGCCTCGAGAATTCAGGCAGCTGCCTTGCCTTCGGCACTTTCAGATTCATCGGGATGTAAACGTCCCCGAAGTTCACCTACGGTAAATTAGACAGTGTATATTTCTTGATGATGGCGAGATTACGCCGTGGAGGATTAAAAGTTCAATTATCAACGAAGGTCGATGTATGTAACGTGACAAATTTCTGTGAATCTTTTTTTTTTTTTTTTTTTTTGAAGCAAAAGTTTTTCAAAGTTGTGCTCCTTGGTTGTTTCAATGAGAAATTGAAGGTTTTTAAAGAATTATCGTAACGTGACTTAAATCTTTCTTAATATCTCTTCTCATTGAGATAATTTCTCCCTTTCTTGATTCACGTGAGACGAAATTTCACGAGAAAGTTAAACGAATTGAAGGCTCGATTTCTCTCTTGAAGGTAAAAGATCGAGAGAGAGTGAGAAAGAGAGAGAAATTTCCGGCGTCGAACAGGAACCGTCTCATCAAGCTGTCTTTCAGAGACCGCATATTTACACCCTGCCAGTCGAAAAAGTCGATCTATCATTCTTTACCCCCTGTTGAAGCTGACGTACCGATAGGGTCTGGTTTGGTGGAGGAGGGGGGGGGGAGAGGTCGTTTATATTCTAAGTTCCATCAAACGTCTGAATAAGCGGGACGAGGAAAGGAAAGCGTGGAAGTGGAACGGCGAGGAGGAAGAAGGAAAACGAGAAGGAGAAACGCGCAAATGGTTGAGGTGGAGGTTTTGAAAGGAGAGAAAAGGGATAGAAGGTAAAAAAAAAAAAAAAAAAGAAGAAGAAGGAGAAAGAAAGATCTCGAGCGGGACCTCGTAAAATCCGAGAAACCGGGATTCCACCCCGTATACAGGGTGATCTGCTCGCTTATCCCCGAGGGAACGTTTTATGGGGCGAAAATTCAGAGCTCGTGACGATTTCTCAACTCATTCCGCAAACCTGGACAAATCTATTTCGCGTACGAATACGATTTTATTCCGCTTCCCTCTTTCTCGTCCCTCTTATTCCTCGCTTTTAACCTGTTTCCAGTTGTTCTCGTGCGTCTAACGAGAATTTCTTAAAACTTAATTTATTGTAGTTTCGTTATACAGTCAATGCTGTTCAGTTTCGTTTCCCGTAAATATTTCATTAAAATAGGACGAAGATCATCGATGAGTGAAATTTTCAAATAAAAACAAATGAAACGAAAGTGAAATAAATCTCACAAGTAGTTAACACTAAACTTGAATCGGAGAAATTAAATTCAGCATGAAACGAAGGGAAATTTTTTGATACAATAAAGAACGCGAGACGTTTTTTTAATTTTCATAAAAAAAAATTTGACCATCTTGATGAATTCTAGTATTTGAAAATACACGCGTAAAGAATCGTTTTCACTTCAGTTTCAGTTTCAGTTTCGATCCGAAGCTACTCTATTCTTTTTTCCTGTCTTCCCTTTCAACCATTCAAGAATAACCCCGATAGGATTAAAGATCCTGCACGTGCACGCGTGATTGGCGTGGGCCGATTAACCGATTCTATCGGTCGCTATTTTTCTATTGTCTTTTTCTCCTTTTTTTTTTTCTTTCCCCCCTTTTTTTTTATCGACTCCTCGAAAAGTGTGCCAAGAGTCGAAGATTGAAAAGTCGGTGAATATCTTCGACGTCTTCGATATTCCGCTCAAGGCTACTGTATACGTGGCCTGATTCCGCCCCGTTTCGAGATGTTCTTTGGAACCGACTGTCGCCGACTTTTGTCTACAAAAGGAATCGATATCGCGCGATACCTTGAACTGACGATATGAGTTTTTCCGTATCAGGGTCGTTCGATTCGTTAAATTATTTGCTTTTCCCTTTCGATCAGACTTGCCTGTCGCGGCGTGGAAGAGGAGGGGAGGGAACGTTGCCCCGATTCCGGGGGCCACGAAATCACCAGGAGAACTGCTCTCCTGGCAACTTTGCCTATTTTATTGCCTCGAAAAGGCAAAAGGGAAAACTTTGAAGAATCACTCCTTAGAAACTAGTTCTTCCCGTTGGTTTGCAACCAACGAGGGATCATCAGGAAATATTCTGCATGGAATACTGGCGAGTGATTCTTAAGAAGAAATCAGTCTCGGATCGGGAGTGAACGAGCGTGTCTCTCAGATTGGGCGAATTGTATGGAGATTAATTTTTAATTACAAGATGATCTTTGACAATCGCTAATTTCATGAAAAATATTCCCTGATGTTTCTTTCTCATCCGACTAGATACTTGTCTATACTGCTCACAAGAATTAGAAGATATTAGAAGATATATAAGATACAAGAACATCAGGAAAGCAAATGACAAATCAAAGAAAGTTGTCTTTTTTCAATAAAAAAACCAATCAAATGCTTCTTCTTTTTATCGCTTCATATTCATTTTGCGATATCCCCATCTACTTATCTTTTGATCGTGACAATGTTCATTGAAACGCGTTTTCATTCTTATTTCTCCAATACCGTGCGACTGATATAATAAATATAAATTCTTTCGCTTGACGAATACGATATTGTCACTGAATTGCATATTAAATGCACTAGCAAAGGCCAATCTTGAACGAAAAGTCTTACGGAAAGACTCGCCGATTCGGCGCCTCGAAAACCTGATCCTGCGCGAGGAGCTCGATTAATAATTTCTCCGACGAGGTCGGAAGTTACCAAGCAAGAAAACTTCTTCATTAACCGAACCAGCGCGCCTCAAAGGGGCGGACAGCAGCGAGACGACGCGACATCGCTTTCAGAATTTAATCTCCCATCGATGTATTACTCCTTTCGGCCATTCAACCGGCAAATTAACGTTGACCTTTCTCCGTTTTTTTTTTTTCTTTTTCTTTTTTAACTTCAGCCGTGAGCTGTCAGAAACCCAGACGGCGAACGGAATCAAACATTCGGACGAGCCAATTAGAAACGACGGAACAAATTGGACATTGCGCGAAACTTTTCGCCATCTTTGTCTCCGAAGGTCGTCGGGGAGCGCCCGGGTATTATGTCGACGCCCGGAAAATAGAGTGGCTCGGCTTCTCTCTCTCGAGTCCGCACTTCGTCGTATGCTAATTCCATCGTTAATAATAATGATTATCGGGCAAACCGGGCCCGACGTTTCCCTCGCCGCGAGTGAGGCGGGAGGGAAGGCGGGAGAGCGAGCTTGAAATTTGCACGCGCATTAATCCCATTTCGTTTAAGAGCTCGTCAATCATATCCACCCTCGGGCGAGTGGCTCTGTGCGCTCGCCGTATACGCAGAGACAGTGCGATAGATAGATAGATAGATAGAGAAAGATACTGGATACCAATGAACTAGAACTCGAGCTTAATGGTGTTTTGAGTGGGCGCGATCTGCACAAAATTGGTCCTCGCACGAGTAGCACACGAGTCGAGGGTCCAACCGACAGTTTCCACGCTGCGTCTCCTGGGTGAACGAATTAATCGTCGATTGTACGTTGTTATTACTCGCGGTGTTGCTTAACCTCCTGCGTTGTGCATGGTGTACTACGCACGTCGAGAATTGTTTCTCCCAAATTGCAACATTTTCTCAATTTTAAGTGTATTTAAATGTAACCCAGGCAATAAACAAATGATAAGTTTATTACTTCTTAATCATTTCTATCCAGTGATATCATACCGACGAGTTTGAAAGAAAAAGAAAGCGACGAATTATTGTATACGGTTCGGTCACTCGTTATGGTCCGCAATCAGTTGCCAATTGGTTAACCTCTTGCGCTGGAATGACGTGCCACGCACGTCGAGACTATTTTATTCCAAAATTGCAATATTCTCGCAGTTTTAAGTATATTTAAGTATAACCCAGGCAAAACAAATAGTAAATTTACTTCACAATAATTTCTATCCAGTGATATCATACCGACGATTTCGAAAAAAAAGAAGGCGACGAATTATTGTATACGGTTCGGTCACTCGTTATGGTCCGCAATCAGTTGCCAATTGGTTAACTTCTTGCGCTGGAATGACGTGCCACGCACGTCGAGACTATTTTGTCCCAAAATTGCAATATTTTCTCAGTTTTAAGTATACTTAAGTATAACCCAGGCATAACAAATAGTAAATTTATTACTTCACAATAATTTTTATCCAGTGATATCGTGTCGATGAGTTCAAGAGAAACAGAAAGCGACGAATTATTGTATAACGGTTCGGTCACTCGTTATGGTCCGCGAACCCAGTTGCCAGCGCAAGGGTTAAACAGAGGGAGGGGAAAGGATGGAATTTTGAAAATAATTTGAAATGCCTGGCGAAAGTATTCGAACGTGCAAGAATTCTAGATTTTAGACTCACGTGTTTACAAAATCTACAAAATCAACATCACACGTATTACATTTTTGTGTTTTCACTAATGAAACCATTTTGAAGATGTATAGAGAAGTTGGGAGGTATTTGTTACAAATGTACGTCGAGTATTATAGCAATACTCATTGAAGATGGCCCCGAGCACGGGATGATGAGAAGGAGAATTGCGGATTCAATCCAAAGTTTTCACGGATGAACGAGCGAATTGTCGGTTGATGTAATTCATTCGTATTACTTTCGGAACTGGAACGCCACGGCGTGAAAGTTTAAAATACCTTGGAACTGATTTCACTTTGGTATAATGAAAGTCAACAGTGTATGTTGAGAATTTATGAAACTATCAGCACGATATAAACGATACGGAACGATCAAACTGGACGACACCCACGAGTCGTGATTCGATAATCAACGCGCCTACCCTTGACATTAAACACGGATGATATTCAGACAAAAGACTTTTTCTTTATTTACGATCGCCAACGCGGTTGCACGATCTTCCTCAAGTCCGCGCAAATGTTTTGTACTTCTTCGATCGATTTAATTATTCAATTTCAACTTCGATTTAATTATTCCACAATTTGCCTCGACCTTTTCTTTACGCAGATCCATTTGCGTTCCACACAACCGAATGCATTCACCTTGTCTTCGAACGTTAATTTTTCGCCGGAAGCCATCACGTGATCTCCGAAGGGATCCCATTGTTCCCGCTAGGAGAATCCCTAAGGGCCGGGGAATGTCGAAATTCGTGATATTTCGACATTAATTA